GTTGTGTTCTCTTGCCACTTTCCATATCTGCTCAAATGACTGATCTGTGGGTGCTAGGGAGGACTTGGAGCTGTGGCCAGGGGCTCAGCAGCACGTTGAGAAGCGTGTGGTGCCCAGGACACCACTCATTTCATCTGTGAGGCAGTTCTAGATTCACTTTCTCAGGACTCCCCATCCCCATGGGCTGAGCATGGGGGCTGGGGCTACCACGCTTGGGAGAAGACAGCCATAGGAAACCTGGAGGGAGGGGGTTCAAGAGGGAAAACATTAATAAAACTACCTCTCACTTTCTGTATTTGCTCAAAACAAACAGCCCCTGCTGGAGCTTCCCTAAAGCGTCCACAGTTTTTTTTCCCAGGAACGTTACAAATGTTTCTCTCCCAGTCTCTCAAAGAAGCTGTGCCATTTTTGTCTCTGTTCCTAAGATTTATCATGATTGGCTACGACCAACAAAAACAGTTGGGAATTTTTGGTGGTTCCTATCTGTTTGTTGGGTTTTCCCCAGGCCTGGCTCAAGAAGACTGTCAGAGTAAGGGCGAGTCCCAGAGCAGAGCTCACAGCTTTGAAGGAAACTCCAAACCCCACCGGCATTTCCCTTCCCCTGCAGTGGGAAGGAAATGAGGAGGGGCTCACTGGGCTGGGGCTGCAGAGCAGGAAAGGGAAGGGAACCTCTGCCACCAGAGCTGCCTCTCTTCTCGGCTTGAGTGAGGCTGTCAGGGGTCAGGTGGAGAGTTAGGAAACCTTCCTGGGGGTACTGGACCCTTGCTTACATGGACCCCAGTGAGCAGGGAGATTTGCCTGGCCTCAAACTGGCAGTAAAACCAGAGCAGCCTTGCTGGAGAAGCACCAGCTCCACGCCTTTCAGCTTCTTCCCGTTATAGGTTTTTATTATTAGACTTTTCGCTGGTTCCCAGTGATTTAGGCATCAGTCCCAGGGTTGTTTTCAGTTTGAGTTCGTCGTCCCCTTTTCCTCACCTCTCCTATTGTGACTGTTTTGGCTGTGACTTACCTTCCTTACTCCGTCCTTGGAGTCTCCTGCGACGTCCCCGACTCCTCAGGATAGTGATACTTTAATTGCTGCCTAGTCTTAGATGAAGCCAGAGCAGCATCAGTGAAGGGATAAAGGATTGCTCTGTAGTCAGTGTTGAGAAGCAGTTGCCGAAGGTGGCATGGAGGCACAGAGAGAGCCTAGAAGCAAGAGGGCAGGTCCGTTCTACATCAGAACATTACACAAGATTTTTAGGAGGGAGGAGAGGGGGACTGTGTTGAACACCCACAGTGTTCCAGACACTTAGAGACATAAAATATTTGTCATTTAATCCTCAGTTAAACTCTGTCAAGTAGTGAGATTATCTCCAGTTTATGGATGCGTTCACCAAGGCTCAATAACTTTGAAGTGCCCAGAGTTGATCTTGGGCCCTCTGACTTCACCCACATTTAGTGCCCTCTCCTTTCCAAGACAGCCACTGCTTCCCTTCTGCTCAGCAAGGGTTTCAACGAGGAGTTAGCAAGAACTTATATCAGCTTCTGCCTTCTGGGAGCCTGCAGTCTCTGTGGAACCACTGAAGGAAAATGTCAAGGAAACAAATCTTTGACTGAGACCAGAACTGTGTCAAGTTTGCTCCTTTGCTGTCCCCAGAACTCAGGAAGTTGTCATTCCTAAGGGCAGGGTGGCTTCCTCAGGACATTGGAGCTTTGCCAGACTCACACACGTTATCAGGTAGAAGCAAAAGCCCTGATGCCCTTGTCTAGCGAGAACAGAACTGTCCGGGCCAGGCTGTGGTTTATACCCCCTTGACGGTGGTTCCCACTGGTAGCCAGTGACCCATTTCTTCTGAGAATGCTGGAGCTTGGTGGAATTCCCCTTACCCATCTCCTTCCCCATCATGTTTCAGCGCAAAAGCAGCAGAGAAGTCTGGGGCCACTGTCAAGAAAGTGGCACCGAAAGCTCTAGACAGGAGGATATGGCTATGGTCAGAGCTACTTCATGCTTCTACCACCTGTCTCCGTACTTTGGAATCTCTCCTTCCTGGGGATCTAGAGTTTGACCAGGTCCGTGCTGTGCCTCTCCATGCTCTTAGACTGGGACTCCCCAAGGGGGTGACTTTGCCCAGTTTTTCAAAACGAGGGGAGCAAGCATTTCCTCACCAGTTCACCTGGTGGAGCAGTAGCTGACAGTGGGTGGCTGAGGGAGGAAGTTGGCATAGACAGGATGCAGTGTCTGCCACAGCAGTGACAGGCTGCTCCCGCCCCTCTTCTAGCAGCTTTCTTCCAGGGGAGACAATAGAAAACTATTTTCATGGCACAGACTTGGGAGAAATGATCAGATGGCAGTGATGTCTTAGAGCCAGGACCAGTCCTAAGTACTGCTTCTGTTCAGTTCAGTCTTGAGTTCAGCTGGCAGCAGCCTGGCCCCAGTTAGGCTGAGTTAGGAGACCTGCTCTAGGTTGGCCTTTGGGTCCCTGTTTTGTTGAGGCCTCCTGCTCTTGTCATGCTGTCCACACAGGCTGAGATTGGCCCTTAGCAAAGTAGTTTCAGAGAGCACATTCCAGGCTTGTGTTTGACCATCTTGCCATCCATACTACATAGACTGTGAGGAGGACTCAGCCTCACTTTCCTATGGAAGTTCAGGCAGATGCATGGGGCAGCAGGAACCAGGGAGAGGTGTGATATGGTATTCTCTTCCCCTTGTTTCTCTCACCTGCCCCACTTCGATAGTCCTAAATTCTTTCATATATAAATTCCAACCGAAGTCTTCAACCCTACTTCCTTTTTGAGCCATATTGACTTCGTTTCCAGCCAGTAGCTGGGCTCAGACCTGGGACCTCTTACCCATAGGTTTATTATCACCTTACCGCCCCCACTAGATGCATGTTGGGAGCTGGGATGGTAAGAATAGACACAGCACTTCAGGGTCCAGATGAGTATACAGCTGGTTCAAGAGTATATCTGAGTTATATATATATATAATAAATAATACGATAGAGTAAATGTTTAAGGATTTTCTTTTGATTCCATCGAAAGTTGGAGGACTTCCTTCTAGGATTTGTTTGCTTCTTTTGGAATAATGCAGGGCATATATGACTTCTTGAGGACCCTGGATGCACACAGTTCATGTCCCCAGGGATGAGAATGCCAAAGACTGGGCAGAGGTAAATGAGATGGTCATGCTTGGGTTACCAGGAAGTTAGAGCTGATCTTGAACAGTAGTTAAAGGAGAGAAAGATGAGAGGCAGCCTTCCAGGTGGCTGACAGTATGCTGGGGAAGAAGCTAAATTTGTGGGAAATCACATGGATGGGGAATCATATTTGATTCAAGAGTATGAGGGAGCAGGTACAGTGGTCCGATTAAAGTGTCAGACTGCCTTTATTTAATCAATTAATTAATTTATTTGAGATGGAGTCTCGCTCTGTCGCCAGGCTGGAGTGCAGTGGTGCTATCACGGCTCACTGCAACCTCTGCCTCCCAGGTTCAAGCAATTTTCCTGCCTCGGCCGCCCAAGTAGCTGGGACTACAGGCACGTGCCACAGTTAACTTTTGTATTTTTAGTAGAGACATGGGGTTTCATCATGTTGGCCAGGATGGTCTCAATCTCTTGACTTCATGATCTGCCTGCCTCGGCTTCCCAAAGTGCTGGGATTACAGGCATGAGCCACGGTGGCTGGCCTATTCTTTTTTGTCGTTTTGTTTTGTTTTGTTTTTTGGAGATGGAGTCTTTTCCTGTTTCCCAGGCTGGAGTGCAGTGGCATGATTTTGGTTCACTACAATCTCTGCTTCCCAGGTTCAAGCAATTCTTGTGCCTTGGCATCCCAAGTAGCTGGGATTATATGTGTGCGCTACTGCGCCCAGCTAATTTTTCTGTTTTTGGTAGAGGTGGGCTTTTGCTATGTTGGCCAGGTTGGTCTCAAACTCTTGACCTCAAGCGATCTGCCTGCCTCAGCCTCCCAAAGTACTGGGATTACAGGTGCAAACCACTGCATCTGGCCCAGATTGCCTTTAGCGGTAAGGGCCGTGACCTGGAACAAAACAGCCAGACTGATGAGAAGAAAGATTTAGCTGGATGGGGATAAAGGTAGGGAACATAGCCTCCTGTCATGGGTAGGGCTAGTCCATGGATGCCTTAGGCTTCACTCACTCACTGTCTCATACCTTATTCAGTCACCAAACAGTGGTGAACAAAATAAAATGATTCCTGGGCTGTCCTTCAAATAGCCTATATGAGAGTGGCTTGCCAAGGGGTTAGGAGGCTTTGCTGTGTCTTAATTAATTGGGAAATGAGTCATAAGTAATTTGCTACTAACAATTAAAGTCCTGTACTTTCGTGAATTTTTTCCAAAAAAATTTTTTCTTAAAAAAATTTCAGTGGTTATCTTCATGCTAATGTTCTTCTTCACTTGTGTGCTGATGGGGCAAAAGGCTCAGAGTTACGGCATCTGCATAGGTTGTGGGTGGCTCAGGATTCACCCATGGGAGTGCATGGTATAGGCAGGTTGCCCATCTCTCAGGTTATAGGGGAAAAGCAAATTGAAAAAAAGTTGCTGCTTTACCCTGGTGGCTTTTCAAATTTTTTGACCTGTCTCATGTTCCCATCACATTTTATGGCATGATGTATGTATATGACATATTTGTGTATATACATAAAATAGAAACTAAAGCTTCAGAAAGTATTATTTATACTTCCTACTTGCAATGAATTCTGGTATCTTCTATTCTATTTTAATCTGCTCATTATCATTTAAAATAAAGTTAATTTTGACTTGATTCAATGGTTTGAATTGATCCCATGACCAGTGGGTTGGAAAACATGGCTCAACCAAACTCAACTAAATAAGAAGGGAAGGCTGGAGGACTGTTCCACCTTTCCAAGCCTGCCTTATCAGCGATAGAGTGTAAGGGTGAAGACTGAGGGCCCAGGAGGGGAAAGGTGTGGGCAGTCCAGTCTTTCTCTTTTCCAGATGAGGGGAGGTTTCAGCATGGTTGACTCAGGTTCTCTCCTCAGAGCTCAATGAATCTGCCTCCAGACAAGGCCCGGCTCCTGCGGCAGTATGACAATGAGAAGAAGTGGGATCTGATCTGTGACCAGGTATGGGGTTTGGGAAAGAGGAGGGAAGTGGGAAGTTATGTCTTGGGCTGGCTAAGGCTGTGGGGCCAAAGGCATTGACTACAGCTTTGGCATCCTTGAGAAACCCTGGCCTAAGCTTGGCCTCATCTGTGTTTACTTTCTTTTCCAAGAGGATTCTCATAACAGAGACGGGGCCAGGAGGCCAAGCTCCCCTCTGGCTCCCACAAAGAGCTGTCTTGACTTACTCCAGTGGGCAATAGTGTGAAGGTGGTTTGTGTAGATTTGGGGTATAGGATTGGCCGTGCAGGTTCAAGGCTATGCCTGGCAGGGTACTCAAAGGACTGTTGATCTCACACTCTGTCTTAGCCCTGGCAAATAGGGTTTTTGTCATTATCTCAGGGCCTCTAGGAATGAGAAGTCCTGGGTTCTAGTCGTCTGTTCCCAAATCTCAGAAGAGTCAAGGTCTGGAAACTCTCCTTGCATGAATGGTGTTTAGAGCTGGAAGAGAATAAAAATCACTACTTTGCGGCCGGGCGCGGTGGCTCAAGCCTGTAATCCCAGCACTTTGGGAGGCCGAGGCGGGTGGATCACGAGGTCAAGAGATCGAGACCATCCTGGTCTACATGGTGAAACCCCGTCTCTACTAAAAAAATACAAAAAATTAGCTGGGCATGGTGGCGCGTGCCTGTAATCACAGCTACTCAGGAGGCTGAGGCAGGAGAATTGCCTGAACCCAGGAGGCGGAGGTTGCGGTGAGCCGAGATCGCGCCATTGCACTCCAGCCTGGGTAACAAGAGCGAAACTCCGTCTCAAAAAAAAAAAAAAAAAAAAACCAAAATCACTACTTTGCTCAGAGTTGAGAATCTTCTGATACATATGACCTGGCTCTTTCCCGCATGCAGTTGAAGATCATGAGTCATGAGTCTGTGAACTCAGACCAGGCCTATATGCAGGGCTGGGAAAATTGGCTTTTACTTTTTTATATCTTGGTAGAGATGGAAGTATCTGGTAGAGTGTGAGTACTGTGTTTACCCAGCACTTTGCTGTATACAATTTTATTATTTCTTTTCGGGCTCTGAGTGAAATCATAATAGCTAACGTTTATTGAGTGCTTGTTATGGACCAAGTACGCTACACATACTGAAATATCTCATTTAATCATCACAAAACCCTCTGTGGAAGGCAGTGTTGCATTTTATAGATGAAGAGCCCAAGGCTCAGTAACTTACCTAGTGCTAGAAGGTGATGAAGCCAGAGTTGAGCTCAGGCAAGCAGATGCCAAATCTGTGCCAACCGTTCTGTTCCACTGCCTCCCCAGGTCATGCTGCTTGACATAAGCTAGGATTATGCTTCAGAGATCCTAGTCCAAGTCCCTTCTCCACCAAAGGTCCATTTCCTTGTGTTCTGCATTAAGAGGAGTTGGTTAGTACCTGCTAGGGGTTTTGAGAATAGTAACCCTTTGGTATTGAGGTTCTTTATTGATGATCTCTCAGTATTTTCTAGATCAGGTAATTTCACCTGTTTCTCAGACCATTCGTTTTTTTCCCTTTCATTTGTTTTTAGGTCCTATTCTCTAACATTACATCATTCTATTGGACATTTTTCAACCCCTGCACCCACCAGCTCTTCAGATATCTTGGTGGTGGCAGCCCTAATAGGACCAGAATGCTAAGGGGTACTCAGTTTCCTTTTGGATCAGATGAAGAGGTTGGGCTAAAGTAGGATGTGGTCCCATGCCCTTTGTAGAAGGGAATCAAGGGATGACCTTGCTGAAAGTAGCCTTCAGTATTTGAGGTTGCTTTGGATTGTTGGGGTCTGGGCAAGAAGCAGTGTTTGCAGCTCTGAGCTGTGTCAGCTCAGCAAAACCAGTCTAGTCCCAACTGCAGAGTTCAATGCTAAGAAAGCTGGATTCTACAAGGCCAAGCTCATCTACCCTTGGCCTTCCTAACCCATAGCTATTAGTTGGCCAGGCAGTGAACAGTATTTCCCAATCATATCTTTTTTTTTTTTCTTAGGGGTCACGCTCTGTTGCCCAGGCTGGAGTGCAGTGGTATGATCATATTTTACTGCACCCTCAAACTCCTGGGCTCAAGGGATTCTCCCACCTCAACCTAAGTGGCCAGGGCTACAGGCCTGTGGTAGCCACCATGTCTGGCTAATTTTTAATTTTTTTTTTTTTTTTATAGAGGCAGTCTTGCTATGTTATCCAGACTGTTCTCAAACTTCTGGCCTCAAGCAGTCCTCATGCCATGGCTTCCCAAGCCCAATCAAGTATATTTTTATTTTGGGTGCTGTTCACAACTCTGTAATCCCCAACATCTTTGTAGCAAGCAGCACACTTTTAAAATACTTTTTGACATAGGAAAACATTGTAGGCTTAGGGTGCTCTAACTAGAGGAGGAAGAGCTGGTAACAGATGGGAATACCTGGGGATGATAAGTCAAGGAAGGAAACCTCAAGTGTGGATGATGTCTAGAGCCAGGTGACAGCTTTGAGAGGCTGGGTCCCCTCACACTGAACACTATGAGTGCTCTGCTTCCTCAGTACCCTCCTCAGGTCTCTGGTTGTCTTTGTGTATATGCATATGTGTGTTTCCCTTACAGGAACGATTCCAGGTGAAGAATCCTCCCCACACTTACATTCAGAAACTCCAGAGCTTCTTGGACCCCAGTGTAACTCGGAAGGTGAAGTATGAGGCAGAGGGGCCCCATCTTGCTGCCCTTTATAGTCTTGTGGGGTTGGGGGGCCAAACCTTTGACTTGGATATTGGACATCTGTTTGTTTCTTAGCAATGGGAGTTGGATTTCAGGGTTCTGTAGCCAGGGGCCTGGAGTGGCTGACCAGTAATGGAGGGAAGGTCTATAACTGCCCTCTTGTATTCCTTTCCTTTTCTTCCCTTTTTATAGAAGTTCAGGAGGAGGGTTCAGGAGTCAACCAAAGTACTAAGGGAGCTGGAGATCTCTCTTCGCACCAACCACATTGGGTGAGTTGGATTGGCTGCAACAGCCTCTTCACCTGGCCCCAGGCTGTTGCCTGGGCACCCAGAATCTGGTGTCCTCTGAGGATGATGTGCCTTTTCATCTTCCCTGCCATGGGGCAGAGTTGCCCCTTGAATGGCTTCTAGCTCCCCAGAGCTTTGGACTGTTTCTTTTCTGGCTTTTCCATCCCCTCAGCTTTGCCAGCTGCTGACTAGATGTTTCTGGCAAGCCTGGGGCCTCTCCTGGGGTCCTCCGCCTGTGGCTTTGAGTGGAAGACATTCCCACAGCAGCTGAGACTAGAGTCTGCCTGTGGCCTGGTGCTGGGCCAAGCCAGGCCCAGAGAAGGCTGAGGGTTGGGGGAACATAGTGGATTGGATAGCTGAGACCTACTTCCCATTCGGTAACTATTTGGACTTTTTGGTGCCTGGAAGATGATTTGCTTGTTTGGGAGAAGACAATCTGAGTTCATGAGCAGAAGAAGCTTCCTTAAGCACCAGGAAAGATATAAGTCAGTGGGGGCCAGGAGCTGCCTGTTTTCTATATTCACAGATCCTGGTGCTGCCAACCCATTGATAGGGCTCGTAGGAACTCTGTGAGACTTTTTTTTCCAGTCCCTGTGTGGGAAGCCAGGAATTGCTGAACAAGCAAAGGGCTAATGTGTGAGGTACAGTGAAAGAGGGTATTGGCCTCAGTGTTATGAAACTGTAATCAGCAAAGGTATATGCAAGTGAGAGAGAGAAAGTGTGTATATGTGTGCATATGTGTGCTCATGCAAAAGGACAATGAGAAAAGGACAGTGAGGGACACATAATGTAGAACTGCAGGCAGAGATACAGACCTGATGGAGGGCCTGGCACAAATGTCCAGTGCTTGTGAGTGAGCAGTAGAGGCCCGGGTGGGGGTGGGGTGCCCAGGCTTCCTGACAGTGGGGTAGAGAGAGCCAAATGACATCATCAGCCTTTTCCCTCCTGTCATAGCAGCGGCCCACTCATCCACTCCTAGGCTGAGCCTTCCTGGGGTTCTATAGAGGGAGGGGACACCTGAGTATAGCCAGCAGCAGCAGCAGTCACAAGGGAAACAGCACAGGAGAGAACAGGAAAAGGATGGTTCTTGGCCTCAGTAACTGTGCTCTGTTGGCCAGAGTATGGCTTCTGTACTTCATCTGTGAACCAGACATTGAAAGCCAAGCCACTGAGAAAGATGTGGCCAAGCCTCCTCCTTTATTTGGTGAATCCTTCATGGAAGGACAAAGTGGCAGGGGCTGCTTAGTACCCCTGCGTGTAAGGACAAGAATGACACCAATGGCGACCCTGAGCACTACCTGCCACCCTGAGCCTCCTACCACTCTGCATTCCTCCATAGGTCCCTTCTGTCCCTCTCAGCTGTTTTATCTTCTGTTTGTGGTTTTTTTTTGTTTTTTTTTTTTTGTTTTTTGTTTTTTTTGGGAGACAGAGTTTCGCTCTTGTTACCCAGGCTGGAGTGCAATGGCACGATCTCAGCTCACCACAACCTCCGCCTCCTGGGTTCAGGCAATTCTCCTGCCTCAGCCTCCTGAGTAGCTGGGACTACAGGCACGCACCACCATGCCCAGCTAATTTTTTGTATTTTTAGTAGAGACGGGGTTTCACCATGTTGACCAGGATGGTCTCGATCTCTTGACCTCGTGATCCACCCCCCTCGGCCTCCCAAAGTGCTGGAATTACAGGCTTGAGCCACCGCGCCCGGCCTGTTTGTGTTTTAAGACAGGGTCTTGCTGTGTTGCCCAGGATGAAGTGCAGTCACGTGATCATGACTTTATTGCAGCGTCAATTTCCAGGGCTTAAGTGATCCTCCTATCCCAGCCTCCCAAGTAGCTGGGAGCACAGGCACACGCCCATGCCTGGCCATTTTATTTTATTTTGTTTTGAGACAGAGTCTAGCTCTGTTGCCCAGGTGCAATCTTGGCCCAGTGCAACCTCTGCCTCCCAGGTTCAAACCATCCTGCCTCTGCCTCCTGAATAGCTGGGACCACAGGTGTGTGCTACCATGCCCAGCTAATTTTTGTGTTTTTAGTAGAGATGGAGTTTTGCCTTGTTGGCCAGGCTGGTCTTGAACTCATGGGCTGGCTCAAGTGATCTGCCTGTCTCGGCCTCCCAAAGTGCTAAGATTGCAGACATGAGACACTGCGCCTGGCCTGCCTGGCCATTTAAATAAATTATTTTAGTAGAGACAGAGTCTAGCCTTGCTTCTTAGGCTGGTCTTGAACTCCTAGGTTCAATCCTCCTGCCTTGATAACCCTTGACTGGCACCCAGCCCTGTTTTCTTAAGTCTTGCTGAAGTCATAGGATCTGGGTGTGCTTTTCTTGGGAGAAGGCCACAGGGCAGTTTATGACAGTCCCTTCTGCCTGCCCCCTCTACCTGGTGCCTGCCCCGCTGGCTGCTGGCCAGGAGCTAGGTCCAGAGCAGCGTGGTTCCCAGGCCTGGGGCCTCTTGGCAGTTGGCACACAAGTTAGAGGTCCTAGACTTGGTCCTTTGTTCCCAGGGAATAGCTCAGTGCCTGGCATTTTCGGCATGCCTGCCATCTGAACTGTGGCTTCTCTGGGTAGAGTTACGTAGAAGGACGAGGATCTTTCCTGGATTTCTGGGCAGGAAGAGTTTGTCAGATTGTCAGGCTGGCATGGGGGTGCTTCAGGGTGGAAGGAACCCAGGGCAAGGTGTGGAGAGGAGGATCCTGTTTTGGTCCCAGGCCGATCAGCCCCAGGGCTTACAGAAGTTGGGTATGCACAAGCAGCAGATGGGAACTCAGGCTCTCGAGAGGGGCAGCCTGGGAAGTGGGATTCCAGAGCCTCTCCAGCTCCTCCTCTCTCCCTGGTTTGTATTGGTTTTTCTGCCTTGCCTAAGCACCCTTTAACCTCTCCTCAAAGTGTCAAGATCCCGAAATAGCAGTATAGACTCAGACAGGAAATGAGAAGGGGGTGGGGAGCTGGAGAGCAGACAGACAGGAAACGGGAGGCCTGTTGGCCCCCAGAGAGGAAGCTAACTTCAGGCAGCTCCGGTGTCAGTCAGCTTCAGCCAGAGCCTGCTGCCAAATCTCAGCTGGGCCTGGTGCTGTAGCTCCAGAGTCTCTTAGTAGCTTGGGGTGTGGCTGGCCAACATGGCGCTGGCTTTCCAGCTGTTGGGGAGAAGAGGCCCTGCAGGGCAGTTTGGGCAGAGCTTTCCTATAAAGACCACCAGAAATTCTGAAGGAGTAGAGTACTCTAGATTAGGGTTTCCTCCTGAGTGTTTTATGTCTCAGCGCTATGGAACAAACCTGTCATATAACAACAAACAGTTCCCTAGATTTGCCCTTGACTTTAATTCCAGGAATATCTCGGCCCAAAAGGACTGAAAGCAGAAGGAAAAAAAATGCTCTGGGATATGGTCCCTAGGTGCTTCGTTGTCTACCTTCCTGGCTGAGGGGGGCCCAGGTCCTCAGGTTGACTCTGAGTGGTCATAGACATCCTGGAGTTCCTTGAGTTCCTGATCATCCCCCAAGCCTTCTGTGGTTTGACGACACTAAATACAGAACTCCTATACATCTCTGTTTGCTCACTGCTTTCCAAAACTGCTCTCCTTAAACTTGATAGAGAGTGCTTTGCCCCAGGATGCCTCAGTTCCAGAGTTCTCCTTGACCCTTCCTGCTGGTGTCTTGACTGAGACTTCAGTCAAGTTAGAGACTTGCTGGCTTTGGTCAAGCACAGCTCTGCACACAGGCCTGTAGTAAACGCTCTTGATACTTCCTCAATTCTTCCAACAAACACTGAGTAAGACGTGCCTTTACTCAGTAAAGGAGGGATGCAGAAAATGATTGAGCCCTTAAAGAGGGCCCTTAAGAAGGGAGTACCTGGGAGCTTGTTTGTCTAAAGCAGGCGTCCCCAAACTATGGCCCGCGGGCCACATGCGGCCCCCTGAGGCCATTTATCCGGCCTCCCGCCGCACTTCAGGAAGGGGCACCTCTTTCATTGGTGGTCAGTGAGAGGAGCACAGTATGTGGTGGCCCTCCAACGGTCTGAGGGACGGTGAACTGGCCCCCTGTGTAAAAAGTTTGGGGACATCTGGTCTAAAGCATCTTCATGATAAAGCAAGTGGTACTAGAAGGGCCTGTACTTTCCCCATCCCTGACTCCCCTGCCTAGGGGAGGTCCCTGACCATGGATGGGTCTGTCATAGGTTTTGATCTTCAGAATCTTCCTAGCCCGGTGCTAGGTTCCAGGAAGAGGAGGTGTTGGTTCAGAGGTATGTCACCCTCCTCATCCTTGACCCACTTTAGCAGACCCTTTTCACTGTGTTTCCTTTATCTTCAGGTGGGTGCGGGAGTTTCTGAACGATGAAAACAAAGGCCTGGATGTGCTGGTGGATTACCTGTCCTTTGCCCAGTGTTCTGTCATGTGAGTACCACCCCAGGGCTAAGTTTGGGGACCGATTGGGGAGGACATAGTTCCATTCTACTCTGATAAGAAAGGGCGAGAGTTTAACAGTAAAGATGGAAATGTGAATCCTGGACAAGATGGAGAAGTCCAAGCAGTGGTGTGGAAGTAGGCAGGCAAGCTGCAAGATGTCTGGGGATCAGTGAAGAGGCACTTGGCTAGAGTGGAAGGTAAGATGCGTCTTGGAGAACAGGAGAGAGATACGGAAAAGGAGCTTGAACTCAGAACCCAAGGGATCCAAATGCCAAGCTGTGAGCAATCCAGGGAAATGTCCTGGCTTCTGGTAGAGATGCCTTGGTGGGATCCATTCATCTTTGCAGAGTTGTCTCCAAGAAGCAACTCTGGGTTTCCAGATGTGAGAGGGTTACTCCAGGTCCTTGTTGAAGAACCCAAGAGCAGTGAGCATGACCTTTTGACTTGGATAGAAAAAGGGAGCATTCAGGAGTCTTTTTCTAGCAGGCATGGGGGTTTGGAGGCAGCCAGAAGTGAATTAGCACAGAAAAGGTGGCCTGGTATAGTGGAAGGAGCGAGAGCTCTTGAGTCAGACAAAGCTGGGCTTGGGTCTCAGTTCTGTTACTTACTATCTGTGTGACCTCAAAGCAAGTTTGTATCTTCTTCTATGAAAGGAGATCCACACTCCAGGGTTGTGAAAATCAGATGATACTGTATGTTAAAGCATTTAATCGTGTTTAGAACATACTAGGTTTGTATTGTGGTAGCAGGTCTATTGTTAATTTCATTATTATTATTTAAGGTGGTATACCCTCCCACAATTACCTGAATACATGGAATTACATAATAAAAATGGTGACCAACACATTTAGACTTATACCTAAGACAAGTCAGCCCTAGGAGACCAATCTTCCTGGTTTGCCCATAACTTCCCCTAGTTTTCCCCAGCATCCTGGGAAACTCCTCCATCCTGGGACTTAGCCCTAACTTTTTTTGAGACAGAGTCTTGCTTTGTTGCTCAGGCTGGAGTACAGTGGCGTGATCTTGGCTCACTGCAGGCTTGACTTCCTGGGCTCAAGCAGTCCTCCTGCAGCAGTCCTGCCTCAGCCCTGCCGAGTAGCTGGGACCACAGGTGTGTACCACCATGCCAGCTAACTTTTTGTGTGTTTTTAGTAGAGATGGGTTTCACCATGTTGCCCAGGCTGGCCTTGAACTCCTGGGTTCAAGTGATCCACCCTGCCTTGGCCTTCCAAAGTGCTGGGATTGCAGGTGTGAGGCACCGCTCCCAGCCAACTTCCACTTTTCTTCTTAATATCCTCCCCCACTTGGTCATTCTCCTTTGTCCAGCAGGTCTTCAGTGTCATCTCCTTAGGAATTTGAACTGATGCTTCTGTGTTTGGTGCCTCTCTTACCTTTTCCAGGTTATCCTCTGTTAAAATCAAGAGTGGCCCACTTTGCATTCTCGTCTCAGCAGAAGTCATAGATCACGTGATTCTTTTAATCTTTTAAAAGATTAAAAAAAGATGATTTTTATAGAAAGAAATGAAAAACATTTGCCGAAACAATTTTTCTTAAAAAAAATTCAGAGCTTTATAGTAAAAAGATATAGGTCATTTTTCCAAATAAGCCTATCTCTCTTATTTGAAAAGCAAACAAATTCCAGCCGCCCTAAACCAAGAGTACCCTGGAACCTCAGTATTGTAGTGTCCAGTATTGACTGTTTTAAAAAGAAGGACTCAGTGTTGGGGAGAGTGTATATTTTGGGAAGGATTGAGAGGGAAAGGGTGAGGCCAAATAGAGTTTGAGTGAAGACATTTGTTTGTGAACTGCATATCTCAGTACTAGAGGATACAGTGTTGTTACTGATGGAATCAGCAAGCTCTTTCCCTGTCAGGGAGGTTCCTCTGATGTCTACTTGAGAGCCCCATTAAACACCTCCTGATCAGGAGGACACTAAAGCCTGCTCCCACTTCCTTTGGAACATTCTGACTTCTGTAGATATCCCTTCCTATTCCAGAAAACCTTAGCCTCTGTGCCTTTGACCCCATATTTGGACAGAATGCTTCTTGAGGAAGAAGAACCTCATGCAAGAGATGCTCCCTTAGTCTTTAATGACCTACATGGAGGAAAAGGACAAGAAGGAGGAGAGGGACTGTTTCTCAGAAGGGTGTATCCTGAAGTGAGGATGTATAAGAGAGGAGTCTCTACGGGTTTGTGATCTTGGCTGTCTTCCTTATCCTGACCACATTGACAAACAGCTGATGGTTGTCTGGGCACAGTGGCGCACACGTGTAATCCCAGAGCTTTGGGAGGCCAAGATGGGGGATTGCTTGAGCCCAGGAGTTTAAGACCAGCCTGGGCAACATAGCAAGACTCCCATCTCTACAAGAAAATTTTTAAAAATTAGGCAGGCATGGTGGCATGCACCTGTAGTCCCAGTTACTTGGGAGGCTGAGGCTGGAGGGTTGCTTGAGCCTAGGAGTTTGAGGTTACAGTGAGCTATGACTGTGCCACTGTACTCCAGCCTGGGCCATAGAGTGAAACCCTGTCTCTCTTTTTTTTTTTTTTTTTTTTTTTTGAGACGGAGTTTCGCTCTTGTTACCCAGGCTGGAGTGCAATGGCGCGATCTCGGCTCACCGCAACCTCCGCCTCCTGGGTTCAGGCAATTCTCCTGCCTCAGCCTCCTGAGTAGCTGGGATTACAGGCACGTGCCACCATGCCCAGCTAATTTTTTTTTTCTATTTTTAGTAGAGACGGGGTTTCACCATGTTGACCAGGATGGTCTCGATCTCTCGACCTCGTGATCCACCCGCCTCGGCCTCCCAAAGTGCTGGGATTACAGGCTTGAGCCACCGCGCCCGGCCGAAACCCTGTCTCTTAATAAAATAATAATAATTCCTGATGGTGGAAGACATCTGGTTCCAGGAGCAGAAAGTGACAAAGAACCCATTCAGCTCCTGCAAAGACTAGACTACAGGACCCTGATCCACAATCTCAACCTGCAATTTCTTACCCCAGGGAAGCTGAAGCCCAGGGAGCCACTATACCTGAAAAACCTAGAAAGCTCAATTAGCCAGAACCATAGAGAACCTGGCCATTAAAACCCAGTGCTAAGATGGGGCAGTGGTGCTCCTCCTCCAAAACATAAAGGACTGTCCCACTCTGGGTTTGCCAGAACCCCCTTTCCCTTCCATTTAGTCCTGTCATACAGAGTCAACTGGACTCCTTCAAGGCACTGAAAGGCCCTTTGGTTGCTGCTGTTGGCCAACTAGCAAGACTTGCAGTTGGCCCATTCCCCACCATTCCTTCTACAGGGCAGATTCGCTGTGGGGAGCCACAGCTTCCTGGAGATACCCCATCTAAGCTGGAAGCTCCCCAGTGGCCCATGGGGAGGACACTCCTCCTGGAGTTACCTGGCCAGTGGGGAGCGGAGGAGTTGGCCTCCATAGGCTTCCCATCTCCTTAGATTCCCCTCCTGGTTGCTGCCTGTGCCTCTTCTGCCGCTGTCCTGTGTTAGTGGCTCTTCCAGCTAGGGTCAGGTCTCTGCTGCCCAATTCTGCTTTCTCTCCTTGCTACCCCTGCTTCTTGTTGCCCTAGAGGCCTGAATGGTGGGGGTGGGCTCACGGGGGGGCTTGGCACTGAATTTCTTCTGTGTATGTGCCTGTGTGTGCGCATGTGTGTCCTTTCATGCTCCAGGTTTGACTTTGAGGGTCTGGAGAGTGGTGACGATGGTGCATTTGACAAACTCCGGTCCTGGAGCAGGTCAATCGAGGACCTGCAGCCACCCAGCGCCCTGTCGGCCCCCTTCACCAACAGCCTCGCTCGCTCTGCGCGCCAGTCTGTGCTCCGGTATGTGTGCTCTTGCTCTGCCCGCCTGCCTCCCACCCCACCCCTCAATGCAGGTCTCAGGTTCAGTGGTGAGTGCTCATGCTCCTCCCTCCACTCTTGCTTCCAGGCTCAGCTCTCTTGCCCTCTGCCTGCCAGTCTGTCTCTGGTCTGTCCTCTCTGTCTCCTTGACTCTGCCCAGCAGTCTGTCCTGGGTAAGTATATGGGCTTAGCTGCACCCACCCCACCTGGGGTTCCAGCTCTCCCCACCCCTCCCCACCCCTCTCTGGGGGGGTCCTTCACTTCTCACTCTCACTCTGCCATTCCTCCTGGGCCTCTCGAGCAGTGCACATCTCATATAGATCCTTGGCCTTCACTGGGTGATCCAGCTCCTGTCCTCATTCTGTTTCCCTCTAGCTCTTCACTCTGCCCCATCATCAGCTTGGAGACCAGCTTCCACCCAACCTGCCTGCCCCTCGCATTCCCTTCACCTCTTCCTTCAAGGCTTTTCTCTCTAAGGCTGCAATGTGCTCATTTGTCTGCAGTGTCTTAAGAGCCATCCTGCCCAGAGGTAGGCGGATGGACTGGATGACTTCTCAGTGCTCCTTGTTACTCTGGGAGGCTTTCCTTTGGGTCCAGTAGCCCTTTCCTTGGTTATCTATCTCTCTTGTGGCCATGCTTTTCTCCTAGACTCCTTTGGCTTGTATCCCTTGAACACTGTTTATTTTTCTTGTCATGCATGAGCAGATACATGTCTCCTCCCTTTTCCATGAAACATCACTGAGAGGATGGAGAGGTGCAAAACCAGGTATAGCCCCATGGCCCCTCTAAAGCCTTTGGGGATCAACTCTGCCTTTTCTGGGATGGGAGCCAAGATGCTCTTGTCCCATGGTTTGTGCAGAAGGTATAGCAACTGGAAGTGGGTGGAGGGAATTCTCAGATGAATGTGTCTCAGGACCCATCTCAGGGACTAGGAAGACCTATACAACTACTGTTTGTATTTTGAAGGATCTCTAGGGTTTGGGCACTGGTTATAAAGCTGGGATCCTGAGTAGTTGCTGACAAAGGCCTACTCTAGGGAGGTAAAAACAGTCTGACCTCCCTGACTCCTGCACCCTGTCCCTCTTCGCTGCTCATTCCTATTTTTTGCCACTGCTAAGGGGCAGCCTGCTGTCTGGGTGATGGTGAGTGCCCCTAGATGCTTCACCGGCAGCCTCGGCTCCCACCTGATTGCCTGGCCAATCTCCCCAGGTATAGCACTCTCCCTGGGCGCAGGGCCCTGAAGAACTCCCGCCTAGTGAGCCAGAAGGATGACGTCCACGTCTGTATCCTTTGTCTCAGAGCCATCATGAACTATCAGGTATGGGGGAAGCACTAGCCATGGGTGGCTCTACTTCTTCTGCCTCATCTGCAGAACCAGAAGGGCACCAGCTTATAAAAGACAGGTTTGCTGGTGGGCCTGCAGTCAAGGAGATCGGCTTTGCTCTCCCTTCCCCACCATCAAGGTACCCCCCTTCTGTCCTTTCCCTTGCAGTATGGATTCAACCTGGTCATGTCCCACCCCCATGCTGTCAATGAGATTGCACTTAGCCTCAATAACAAGAATCCAAGGTGAGTTCCTTCCCTCCCCTTTCCTCCCCACTCTGTCCAGGGATCTGGAGGTCTGTGCTCCATGTATTCCTGACAAGTCCTGCCTGGCCTTGGAGTCCTGTCAGAGCCTTGGTTTGGCCCCCTCACCTCTGCTGGAGAAGTATCCCTGGCTCCCCTCTGGTCTACACAGCTTAGTAAGGGAGCAAGTCCTCTTTCTCCCACCCTCGCCTCACCACTGAGGCTTTCTCCACTCTCCAAAAGGACTTACCCAGTCAGGGAAGTGAGCTGTGTGGTGGTCAGGATGGGGAGCTAGGGTGTTAATCTTCCTTCTTCACCCCTTAGGACCAAAGCCCTTGTCTTAGAGCTTCTGGCAGCTGTGTGTTTGGTGCGAGGAGGTCACGAAATCATCCTTGCTGCCTTTGACAATTTCAAAGAGGTCAGTCTTTTGGCTTCGTGTGTGTGTGTGTGTATGTGTATGTGTTTATGGGGTAGAAGGGAGGAAGCCAGGTAGGTAAGCACCATTTCCTGTGATCTGCAGTGATTTTTAACATCCCAGTGCTTGGCTAAGCATCCTCTCTTCTGAAGGCCCACTGTTTTTAAAACCAGAACTTTAGTCTTATTGATCTTAGTGCCAGGAAATCTCCTGATCCGCCAGCTAAAGTTACCTCAGTAACTGGAGGCCTAAGTATATGTACTTTAAGAGACTCCCCAGATGGGAGTCTGATACGGTGAACCCAAAGCACATGTGTTTGAAGTGGGAGGAGAAGGTAAGCAAGGGTGTCTCTTGGATTGTTGGCTGTTATTGGTGAGGGGAGAAGGAACTCCTATGTAGAACTTCCCCAGCCCCTGGGCCTGCCTCTGAAACCCCTGTCTACTTGAATATAGGATTCCTCGACATCCAGCACAGCTGCTGGTCCCACCCCTTCCTCTTCTTTGGACCTGTTCCCTAGCATCCATTGTTCAAGCCAGGAAATGGCTCTTCCTCCTTGAAGCCCAGAGGCTCAGGAGCCTCTAGACCCCTCTCGGAGAGGGCTTTCCTGTACACTGGCCCCTCCTCTGCATCCCCACCAGTACCGCAGCCTCCTGACTCACCCATGGCCTTCCTCCCTTGGTCCTCCTTTCCCTCCTTCTGTTAATAACTTGGCAGCATCAGAATCCTATGTTTCTTCCTGGCCTATCCCAGAGGCACCTTAAGGGCATAGGCATTACTGAATTCCCTCTCCCCAGCTTAAGGGCACAGGCATTACTGAATTCCCTCAGCAATTTGGTGGGGGACCACAGACCCAGAGCCAGATTGCAGGTCCAAGTTTTCTTTCTTTTTTTTTCTTTTTTGAGTTGGAGTCTCACTCTGTGGCCCAGGCTGGAGTGCAGTGGCACAATCTCAGCTCACTGCAACCTCTGCCTCCTGGGTTCAAGTGATTCTTCTGACTCTGCATCCTGAGTGGCTGGGACTACAGGCATGCACCACCACACCCGGCTGATTTTTGTATTTTTAGTAGAGATGGGGTTTCACCATGTTGGCCAGGCTGTTCTTGAACTCCTAATTTCAGGTGATCTGCCCGTCTCGGCCTCCCAAAGTGCTGGGATTATAGGCATGAGCCACTGCACCTGGCCCCACTTTCTTTATAGTGTCCAGAATGGCCTATTAAATATATAGAGTTGTGGTTAAGCTTGGTCTGAACCAGTCTTTGCCATGATGTTCCTGGGAGCCAGAGCACAGGGGCTTGGGTTCTGCATGGAGCAGATCCTTTGACTGAGAAAGCTTGCGTATTCAGGTATGCAAGGAGCTGCACCGCTTTGAGAAGCTGATGGAATATTTCCGGAATGAGGACAGCAACATCGACTTCATGGTAAGGCACTGGGCCTGGGCCCAGCCCATATCCACCAGAGCTGTGTGTTCCTTGAGAACAGGGGTCAGGCCAGCAGTATATCTTGATATTCCATGTAGAGCCCAGAATGATTCTTTCTGTTCAGCAAATGCTTCTTGTCCACCTGCCCACCCCAGAGAGCTCTTAGAAACTTCAGGACATCATTTGTATATGTCAGATCTACCTCCTTTTCCTCTTCTCTGTGGCCTTTTTGTCCTTGAATTGGATCCTTTTTGAGCTGCCTTTCCTTTCCTAAGCTCTTCTTCTAGCTTCTCGTCCCCCCAGGGCAGGATCCTCAGCTAGCTAAGGTTGTCTCAGGGAATACCTGCTGATATACAAGGGAAATCACGGAGCTTTATCTTCACTTACATCTGTTTTTCATGTAATTTTCTTATCTTTATTCACTGAATATTAAATGACATTTTAAAATTAAAATACTCTTATTGCTCCCATAAAGACTTAACTCTTCCCTGTAATTATCCACATAATGATGATGTCCCAACAGCCGTCTGTCCTCCTGGTCTCTTGGCTCCCCTCTGCCTTCCTGTTGCCGATTCTCTGGGCTGCTTCTTCTCCAGGTGGCTTGCATGCAGTTCATCAACATCGTGGTGCACTCGGTAGAGGACATGAACTTCCGGGTCCACCTGCAGTATGAGTTTACCAAGCTGGGGCTAGAGGAGTTCCTGCAGGTGAGCTAGTTGGGGTCCTTGTAAGGCGAGGTGCTTTGGGATCCGTTGAGTCATATCACAAATGATTTTTCTAAGTGCCTAGTCCTTGATGCTCCTGGGACCTTGCCTGTCTTCTGTGACCTGGGACTCAGGACCTCCTTCAGATAACTCGCCAGTCAGGCATCTCCATGGGGCGAGAATCTGACATGGCCTGCAGCAGGAACTCTTTGGGAAGTGGTGGTGAAGGGGAATGAGGACTAAGTTTTTCTCAGGTTCCCCTGATGATCTGCCTGTTCCTACAACTACTACTACTTTCTGCTCTTCCCCCAGAAGTCAAGGCACACAGAGAGCGAGAAGCTGCAGGTGCAGATTCAGGCATACCTGGACAACGTGTTTGATGTCGGGGGTTTGTTGGAGGATGCTGAGACCAAGAATGTAGCTCTGGAGAAGGTGGAGGAGTTGGAGGAGCATGTGTCCCATGTAGGTGGTCTTCCTTTGCCTGCCAGAGCCACTGTTGTTGGAAGCTCAAGTTATCAGGAATCCTGAACTGACCCATTTGCCTCCAGACTGAGTCCTAGGGAGGCTTTAGAACCCACTAGGGCTCTCAAGACCATGCACTGGCCTGAGCCACTGGATCTTCCACCAATTGGAACACACACCACCTCCAGGGCTAGGCATGAGGTGGCATCGGTCTTGAGAGAGTCAAAATGCAGCCTTTGTCTTTTATCTGTTATTGGGATATAAGGGAGGCACCTGACTAAGCTGCCTTTGCGGCCTTGTGTTGAGGGGTTCGACTCAGCTCTTGACTAGGGTTCAGGTTGTGCTGAGTGCCCAGGCTTTAGGGCCAGCACAGAACCTGTCCTTCCTGTTGTGCAGCTCACAGAGAAGCTTCTGGACCTAGAGAATGAGAACATGATGCGGGTGGCCGAGCTCGAGAAGCAGCTGCTGCAGCGGGAGAAGGAACTAGAGAGCATCAAGGTAAAGGGACTCTGGGGAAAGAAGTCTCTGACTACTCCTGGGCTCCAGGGCCTTGGGGTTTTGCTTTTTTTTTTTCCTGAGTCATGTCAAGTTCTTTAGGATTTAGATCTTGATTCACTCTTGAAGTTCTCAGGTGTGGGTGGGCTGATGATTGCACCCCATTTTTTTAGTTGGAGAGGAAAGCTGAAGCCAGTGTGAGCCAGACACACACATAAGAGGCTGGGAACAGCTGGGGCAACTACAAGCATTCTGGAATTCCAACCCAGGCCTCCTACCAGCCCATCCCATTGATTTTTCTCCCCTCTACCCCCATGTTCCTCCCCAGCCATGCTTAATGATGAGGGGCAGAGTGACCAGGTGCTCTGTGTATTAGGGTGTCCACCAGGTTTCCTAAGTTGGCAGAGCAGATGCTCCTTGTATTTCATTCTCTTCTGTATTTTCATTATAAAGTCATGCCCCTCACCTACCTTCTCTTCCAGAAGAACATATGCTGGCTCTGTTGAGCTCAATATGTATCTGTACCCAGCCTCTGCTAAGCACTATATTGGGAGCTATGGAGGATACAGAGATGGTTAAGACAGGGTCTTGTTTATAGGGGGCTTCCAATTGAGCCATTATATGAGGCCAACTGAAATTGAAGCAAAATGAGGCCCAGAGGGCTCTGGAGAGAGCAGCTATGTCAGACTGGTGATTGATTAAGGAGAGTTTCACAGGGACAGCCTTTTTTCCTGGGCTTTAAGGGGCCCATGCAGTGAGAATTGGCTGGAACAGAGAGGACACTTTAGGGTGCCAGCGGAGGGAGGCAGCTTCTGCTTCCCTCTTTTGTTTTGCTGCCTTCCAGCTTCCCCATTCCTCTACCTGGATTTCTGCCACTCTGAACCTCTGAGCACCCTCACAGAGACCCTAGTTAAGAGAACCCTAGGTAGGAATTCTCACTCCTAGGGGCAGTGACTACTATTCCTTCAGCCCACTTTTCCCTTAATGGTACTGTCTGCCTGTCAGGAGACATACGAGAACACAAGCCACCAGGTGCACACCCTGCGGAGGCTCATTAAAGAGAAGGAGGAGGCCTTCCAGCGTCGATGCCATTTGGAGCCAAGTGTCCGGGGCCTGGAGTCTATGGGCAGTGAGGCCCTGGCCAGAGTAGGCCTTGCAGAGCTGAGTGAGGGCATGCCACCCTCCGACCTAGACCTTCTGGCTCCAGCCCCACCCCCCGAGGAGGCCCTGCCTCTGCCTCCACCACCAGCTCCACCCTTGCCCCCTCCACCTCCCCCATTACCAGGTAACCATGACCCCTGGGAGCCAGCAGGGGCAGCCTCATGTGGGGACCAAAACCATAGTCAGCGGTGTCTTCCTCAGGAAGAAGCTGGGAAAATGGCATCATCTGAGGACTGAGAGGCCATAAAATCAGGGTGAGGGAGGGCTGGAATCTGAGGGAAGCTCGAGTGATCAGCACAGGGATGCCCAAGGGCAGATGTGGATCTGTTTAGATGCTGCTCCAAATTCCTTTGAAGACAGCCAAGGAGAGGCTTAGACAGTAGCCGTGGAAACTGGGTCAAAGACCAGCAAGAACTGCGCTGTCAGAGTTAGGATTTCTGGGAGCAGCTTGAGCAGATTTAAAATAGGCTCCTTCTTTGAGAGTAAAAACTCAGAGGTGGGGCTGGCAGAGGAGAGAAGCAGCCTGTGAAGAGTCTCTTGACCCCTGAGTCACTGTATCATTCCTTCTTCCCCCAGACAAGTGTCCCCCAGCCCCACCTCTCCCTGGTGCTGCACCCTCTGTGGTGTTGACAGTGGGCCTGTCAGGTGAGTGTCCCAGGGCTCTGGGCAGGGCTAGTGGGACCAGGGGTATGTGTCCTTGGCCCCTGTGTCACCGATCCTCCTTCCAAATTAGCCATTCGAATTAAGAAACCTATCAAGACCAAGTTCCGGCTGCCTGTCTTCAACTGGACAGCACTGAAACCCAACCAGATCAGTGGCACTGTCTTCAGCGAACTTGACGACGAGAAGATCTTGGAGGTAACAGGACCTGGGGTCCAGAGTGGTAAGACTGCACGCTGGGGACCTGGTTGCCTTTTGAGCAGATCTGGTCTTAGAAAAGCCGTCAGAGAGGGTGAGGCCAGGTTCAGCTTCACAAACCCTTCATTCTTGAGTGTATTTATTTTTCCAGTTGTGTCAGCACTTTGTGTTTGTATTCATGAAACATTCCGGAGTGACAGAGCTCTGGGCCAATGCTGGCTGGGCTGTCAGGAGGTCCTCCACTAATAGGAGGCTACAGCATTTTCCCTGCTCATCTATTCCTGCCAGGACCTGGATCTGGATAAGTTTGAAGAATTATTCAAGACAAAAGCACAGGGCCCTGCCCTTGACCTCATCTGCTCCAAGAACAAGACAGCGCAAAAAGCTGCCAGCAAGGTGACTCTGTTGGAAGCCAATCGTGCCAAGAACCTGGCCATCACCCTACGCAAGGCTGGCCGCTCAGCTGAGGAGATCTGCAGGGCCATTCACACGTGAGGCTCCCATTGACCTAGCCCTGGTTGCTAGTCATTTGGCAACCCAGTTCTCCACCAAGGAGCCTGGCTTTCCCTAGATTCCAGGCATCTGACAGAACTCCCTTGCGTTTCCCTTGCGTAGTCATCCAGTGGCTTGGCCAGAATTTACTGCATCTGTGCTGGCAGTTCAGCTCAGACCTTCACCCAAGGAGCTCTCAGTCTATTGGGAACAGTTCAGTGACATGGAATGTTCCCCCAGTATCACTGCTGGTGCTATGACAGATGAGGCAGTGGGTCCTCTGCCCATGGCTGTGCTCTGTATGCAGTCCCCTGCCCAGTCCTAGGAGCTTGGAGAATAAGCGGGATGAGGGAAAACGTGGAGAGATGTGAGAGCTGAGGTGGTCCCTCCCTCCTACACAGGTTTGACTTGCAGACGCTACCTGTGGACTTCGTGGAGTGCCTGATGCGCTTCCTGCCCACAGAGGCTGAGGTGAAGCTGCTGCGGCAATACGAGCGTGAGCGGCAGCCCCTGGAGGAGTTGGCAGCTGAGGACCGCTTCATGCTGCTCTTCAGCAAGGTGGAGCGGCTGACCCAGCGAATGGCTGGCATGGCCTTCCTGGGGAACTTCCAGGACAACTTGCAGATGCTCACACCGGTATGGCCCTCATTCAGCTCATGGTCCTGGACAGCTGTCCCTCCACCTTCCATCTGCTAGTCACCTACCCTGCCCTTCCAGTCCTTCTAACCCCTCCCTATCTTTACCCCATCTCAGCCTGGGGTTACTTCAGTGTTTATATTGTCCTACAGCAACTCAATGCCATCATTGCGGCGTCCGCTTCCGTCAAGTCTTCACAGAAACTGAAGCAGATGTTGGAGGTGGGAAGAGGTTGTGAATGGGGATGCTGGGAGTTCTCAGGTCCTAGGTGGGGGCCTGGGGCTATACAGAGAGAAAGAAGGAGCCCTCAGGACCTGAGCCTGACCTCCCTCCCACGCATCCTTTGGACAGATCATACTTGCACTGGGGAACTACATGAACAGCAGCAAGCGAGGAGCTGTGTATGGCTTCAAGCTCCAGAGCCTGGATCTGGTAAGATGGTGAGGGCAGTGTGGGCCAGGAAGCCTAGTGGGCAGCAGTTGTGGAGCCAGAGTGCTTAGCTTTTATGTACTGCCCTCACCCACTCTCTTAGCTGTTGGATACCAAGTCCACTGACCGGAAGATGACACTGCTTCATTTCATCGCCTTGACAGTGAAGGAGAAATACCCAGACCTGGCTAACTTCTGGCATGAGCTGCACTTTGTTGAGAAGGCTGCAGCAGGTGAGGGGAGCCTGGCTGGGTGGGCCTGCCCTCACATCCAGCCCAGGACAATCCCGGGAAGCTATGAGGAGAGGGAACACTCGTTTTGTTTGTTTCTGGCTTTCGTTATCTTTTCTGACCACTTCAAAGCTTTCCGCTGGAGCCATAAGCAGGGGCCACTCCAAAGGGAGCCTTCCTCCAGGCGCCAGGCCTGGCCCAGCCCAGCCCTTCCCAGCTAGGTGCAGTGGGAGCAGGAACAGGAAGGGGACTGGTGGCTCTTTACTCCCAACTCCTCAAGCTGGCCCCAGAGATCTTGTTATTTGTGTATGATGTACGTGAAGTGCCTAGAAAAAATCATAAAGCCTATATAGAGGTATAGGCATGAGGTAGCTGCCCCACCCACGAATACTAGGGCAGGCCTGAGGCAGTTTGATTTTGGAGACCAGCAGTCTCTGTGGCTTGCCTGCCTTTGCTACTGTGTTCTTTGGGGTCATGAGATCAGTTTCTATTCCATTCCCTGCCCCTGTGAGGGCTCAGCTAGCTTGGTGTGCACTTCCTTATGTCCATACAGGTATGTGAACATGAGTGAGCCCATGCTGAGGGGGAGGGCCAGAGTTTGATGTAGCTCTGGCTGGGAGGTGGGCATGCCAGGCCCTAGGCAGTCCTCAGCCAGGCTTTTGGTGACCACAGTGTCCCTGGAGAACGTGCTGCTGGACGTGAAGGAGCTGGGTCGGGGCATGGAGCTGATTCGGCGGGAGTGCAGCATCCACGACAACAGCGTCCTCCGGAACTTCCTCAGTACCAATGAAGGCAAACTAGACAAGCTCCAGCGGGATGCCAAGACAGCTGAGGCAAGCACGGGGTACAGGCGGGTGGGAGCAACCAGGGCCAAAGCACCAGGCCCCTCTAGGTGGCCCTAGTTCTGTTTTTTTTTTTTTAATCAAGCAGCTGGCTGGTTACATGTCGGGGAGAGAACGCTTTGGGAATGGCTGGCAGCTGCCTCTGGAGACATGTACTCTTGGGAGCTTTGGGAGCCCCGGGTTCTCGGGGCCTGGGTGGTTGGTTTTCCTCCCTTTGGCCCTGAGCTCTGCTTTCTGCAGGCCTCTCACCCGTGGTGTGGGAGTATAGGAGCTGGGCTGCTTCTTTCTGCCATGGTGACCCATTCTGCCCACCCCTTCCCCAGGAGGCCTACAATGCAGTTGTGCGCTACTTTGGCGAGAGTCCCAAGACCACACCTCCTTCTGTATTCTTCCCAGTATTTGTCCGATTCATTCGTTCTTACAAGGTGAGCTGCAGAGAGCTTTTTAAAAAGTTTGGTTGAGAGAAAACTGGTTGTGGGAGAGAAGCCTGGGTTTAAAGTATAGCCCTTTTCCGACTCCTCCTCTGAGTCCTGGGAAGGGAGTGATGCAAGCTGGCGACAGGCCTCTTAGCTGTGAACTGGTGGGCAGGGTGGGGGCCCAGGCCCTTCCTGTCATTGTTTGGGGCAGGAAGTGCCCCTCCAGAGGTGGCCACCTGGAGTTAGCAGGTCCCACTGCCACCCATTCTCTAATTCAGTGTCAGCCCCTCCTCTCACAGCCTGTGAGCCTCACCCCCCACCCATCTTCCGCGGTTCTTAGGAAGCAGAGCAAGAGAATGAAGCCCGCAAGAAGCAGGAGGAGGTAATGCGGGAGAAGCAGCTGGCTCAGGAAGCCAAGAAACTGGATGCCAAGGTGGGTGGGACCAACAACTGGGGCCTGGAGGAGGGCAAGCCAAAAGAGTGGGGGCTGGGGGTCAGAAGGCTAGAGGAGATGAGAACTTGGAGTGGACAAACCACCCAGAGGGCCAGTGGGCTGGCATCCAAAGGGATGGAGGGTGGGCCTTTGGGGATTCCTAGCAGTGCACAAGCAATGGCATTCTCAGACTGCACCTTGGGGCAGGAACCAGTCCCACATTAGGTTAGTGATGACTTCCTTCCCCCTCTACGTTCTTGGCCTAGACTCCATCCCAGAGGAACAAGTGGCAACAGCAGGAGTTAATAGCAGAGTTGAGGCGGCGCCAGGCCAAGGAACACAGGCCTGTTTATGAGGGAAAGGATGGTACCATCGAGGACATCATCACAGGTGGGGCTCTTTTCACTCCCTGGGGCCTGCCCATTGCACCCAGCTCCCAAAGCTCAACCTAGCGCCTTTGGGCTTTCCTCCCACCCCCCACCATGAGGCCTGACCACTGTGTCTCTCTCCTGGGCCATAGTGCTGAAGAGTGTCCCTTTCACGGCCCGTACTGCCAAGCGGGGCTCACGCTTCTTCTGTGATGCAGCCCACCATGATGAGTCAAACTGTTAGCCCCCAAGGCTGGGGTCCTTGACAGGTACTGGGCACAGCAGCTGCCCCTTCTGCATGCCCATCTCCCAGGATTCCTGCCGGAGACCACAGGCACCTCCTTTCCTGCATGACTTGCAATCACCCTCTGGCAGCCTCCCAGCAATGGGAGGACATACTTCTTGCATGACCCATGCTCTGAGAAGCGTGGCATATCCCCTGCATGTATCCTTAGGGAAGTGGTTTCTTTCCCACTAATGCTGTCCTGGCTTCTACTAAGACCCAATGGGTAGGGAGTTGCCAGGCCAGTGTTGAGGGCAGGCGGGACCAGGCCGACAGTTCTGATCTTTGAGGCTGAGGTTGAGGGTCCATTCCTGGGCCTAAGGAACCTTTCCCTAGGGTTCTCTTCTCATAAGAGCTCTGGCAGTAGCTTCTGACCAGGAGCTATCACGTGTCCCTTGATCTGTTTCCTGACATCCAGTCAGCCTGGGATCTTTTCCTAGCTTCTGGCTCTTTCTGAATGTCTACTCTCTACTGCCCAGTGGCCTCTAGTCACCCTGACCTGATCCTCTGAAATGCAAAGCCCAGCAATCTCCCCAACTACCCCTCAAGCCTCCCCTTTATCCGCCTCACCGCTGGCTCCTCCCATGTGGAGGTTTATCTGTGGGGCTGCCCTTGAGGGCACTGTCCTGGCTCAGCCTCCCTTCCTGTTCACAGGTCTCTGTCTTCCCCCACAGGCCTCCACTGCCAGCCTATTGTTGTTCACCACCAAGCCAGGAGTGCTGCGCTGCCCAGTGGCCCCCCTCGGGCTCCAGGTCCCCATTGAGACCCTCTTGGAGGCAGAAGCACTTCAGCATTCAGAGTCCTACAAGTCCAACCAGTGGACCTGGAATTGGCCAAGGGCCCAGGAGAGGACTATGCTGCTCTCAACCCTGTCCGCCCCAGCCCCTGAGGCTGGATCTTTCTACTTGTGCCACTATGGGCACTAGGTCTGTAGGTCTCTGGTGACTCCAGTACTGCACTTTGCTCCCAAGATCTTTGACTTCATTTCCTGAAGGGTCACCAAGGGTCAGCCCAGGGCTGAGAAAAAACATTTCCAGCTTTAGCCTATACAGGGCACGTAGATCTCTCTCCCGCTAGAGCCCAGAGTGCTGACAGGAAAGGGCAACTGTCTTTTTTTTCCTTTCTATTTTGCAGGCCCATGGGCGGCTCTGGTCTAGATGTATCTAGGCTTACGGAGCCCTGGGACTCTGTCAGTCTGAGTTCATCTCTTACCAGAAGCAAGGCCCTCTGCCAGCTGTGCCCTAGTGATAAGAGTAAGAGAAGAGATGTCAGGCTCACTGCCCTTATTTTTCTGCCCATTTCATTCTAAGCTCACACTGTTCCTTGTCAAGGTGGGCAGAAGAACAGAGGTTTTCTTTGCACCAATCCCTTTCTGCAGATGGCTGGAGAAGGGGTGTGCCAACCCTTTACATTCTTTCTTCAGCTGCATTTTGTTTTGTTTTGTTTTGGCAGGGGACAGGGAGCATGGTGGTCTTAGCTGACTGTTTGCTCCGCTTCCTGTTTGTCCTCTGCCCCAAGAAGGGAATGTGGGGGCCCACTTATTTTGTACATGTTCCACCTCCCTTTCCTCTTGTACATAAACCCGACTTTCCCTCCCTCAACAAAGGCTTGAAGCACCAGGCCTGACTCTGTTTCCTCTTTCTTAGCCTACAGGGCTAGGGTGGCCATTTAGCCTGACCTGGGCCATGGGGAGAGAAAATAAATCTTTGGGGCACTACATCTGTTTCAGGGGAGACGAGGTCAGAAATCTGGGGAAAGGAGAACCAGCCTGGTGGGCTCTAGCCACACAAAGGGAAGCAGGCCTGCCATGAGACACTAGTGCCCTCTGCTGGGCATGTGACCAGTCCGCAGCCTGCCCTAGCAGCACATGGAGAAGAGTCACTGGCCATGTTATAAATAATATTGTTATTTAAAAAACAAAAACAAAACACACGTACATTAGGTCCTAGGTGGAGGAAGAAGTGGTGGAGCCTCAGGGCAGGCAGGAGCAGGCACAGATGCTAGAGGGTGAAGACCCTGCCCTCTGCCACCCAGGCTGTGTCCACCAGCCTGTCACTCTTCTCTAGAGACCCCTTCTCTCACACTTTATCTACTGGCATCACCCACCCCACATGGCATATACTACCACCCATCTCTGGTCTGGGGCTGAGGGCAAGGACTGCACTAGTCCGGGGAGTAGGGGACTCTTGAACACCAAAAGCAACCTTGAGAGGTGCCAGCAATGGTGTGCTGGGGGTGGGGTTACTTTAGAAAAAGTGGACACAGACCAGACTAAGGAAGAAGTCTGAGGCAGATGGTGAGGGTGGCCCAGGAGCCACAGCCTCACACAGACCCAAGGCAGAGAGCAGCTCATCGGGTCACTGGTGATCATCCAGCTGCTGTAGGAGTGTCCGCCGCCGCCTCTCCAGCTCACCCTCACTCAGCTCACTTTCCGACGTGTCCCAGCCTGTCTGTTGAGGCAAAGGCACCACTCACCCTTAGCCTCTACTGAGAGCCTTGGGAGCTTGGCCAGCATGCTTACTGGCCTGGGGTCCCTGCCCCTCACCTTCTCCTTCTTGATTCCAAAGCCTGGGGAACGGTTAGGGAGCTCTGCCTGCCGGAGCTCCCTGTCCTTGTCCTGTTCTTGTTCTTTCTCATCGCTCTCCTTGCCAGCTTTCTCCTCGGGGTCTGTCTCACTCTCAGGACTATTCTGTAAGAGTCCAGAGCCCACCAACCTCAGTTCTGTGGACAGCCCAGGAGGCAGTAGAACAGAGCTCACAAAATAGCAGGGGCTTAAGTAGAAGTTCCTTCACTCACCGACTTGTGCCTTCTCTTCTTAGTTTTCTTTTTTGGTTTCTTGGCTTTCCGAAGGCCATGATCTGGAGGTAGAAAAATCCCTACTAAGTCCCAACAGGACAAAGGAAGGCTCTTTTTCTCTGTTCCAGCCCCTCTGTTCATTCTTCACAGGCAGTGACCTCGTGCTCTGAGGAAGTCTAAGTTGGTCCAGTTTTCCTTCTTCAGGTTCTTGCCTGGGCAGGTAGAGGAAGTTCTTTCTACTCCCACAGGTGCAGCTCTCCCAATCCACTCTACCCTCAAAGGAGCTGGAGCTTGCTCCAGTTGGCGGGGCGGGGCGGGGCGGGGCGGGCGGAGGGGCGGAGGGACGGGCTTGCAGGGGCAGGACATCCTCAGTCTGGGACAACACTTCTCCAGCTTCTAGGCTCATAGCAACTGCTTACCTGTTCCAAGAAGGTGGGAGGAAGGGGAACCCCGTCCTCCAAGGGCAGCACCCCCACTTTCAACTGAATCAAGTGAGGAAGAGGGCTCAGAGCCTGACTCTGAGGGGTTCCGCCTTCTCCGCTTAGGGGGCCGGAGAGATGGTGGGGGCAGCTCCTCTTCTTCTGACTCAGAGCCCTGGGCAGATCAGCAAATGTATGTCAGTGCAGAGGTTCTCTGCCCCCCAGAAGCCAGCTAGGAACTGGGGAGACAGCAGGGTCCAGGACCAAAGGAATCCTCAAATTTCCCTCCAAGGGAGATAATATAGGAGGAAAACAAGAAGTGTTTATTTCCCCGAAACAACCCAGCTTCACCCCACGTCCCTTCTACCCGCTAACTCACCGATGGTGAGTGGGAACGCTTGTGATGGTGCTTCTTGCCTTTCCTGCCATGCTTTCGGCCTTTGGTGTGGAGGTGCTGGCATTCAGTCTGCTAGAGGCAGAGGAAGAAGGGTAAGGACAACATCAAACTTAGTCCCAGGAAGGACCCTACCTCCTAAAATCTGGCTTTGCCTCCCTTACGCTAGAGCCTTCTGCCTATCCCAGGGATCCTTCAGGCCTCCCCTTCCTTAGCTTGGCCAGGAGTGCCCTAGGGGTAAGAGGGAGGCCACTGAGGTCTCTGTTGAACTGGTCTAGGGAGTTTCAAGGGCCTGGGACAGATCTAGAGAACAAGCAGCCTGCCTCACCTCCAGCACCTGTAGGAATTCTCGGAAGAGCCGGATCCTCTCCGACTCCAGGGTGATCTGCTCAAAGGCTGAGTCACACACAAAACGCTCACGGACCTTGAACGAGGAGAGCACTGCTGATCAGATTAGGCCCTACTCAGCCTGGCCTGGACACCGCCATGAGCACAGGGCAGGGCTGGGGCAGAGAAAGGAAGGGAACTGGAGCTGGCCCAGGGCTGTGATGTGACTGGGGTGGGCCCTCAGTGGTGAAGCATCGCTGCCCTCAGACTTGAAGGTGTTTGGGGCCAGGCTATGCTCCTGACCTCTTCCCAGGCAGTGCCTAGCTCCAGAGCAGGCACAGCCTGCCTCAGCATGCTTCGAAAGGCAGCTTCCCTGCGCCGCATCCTGCGTGCCTCCTCCTTCTCCCGCTCCCTCTCCCGTGCCTCTGCTTTCTCCAGCAGCTGAAGATAGAAGGGACACATGGAACAGAGTCACCCAGGAGGGTGGATGCTGGGTCCCACTCAGGCATACCTTAGAGGAGGTGGAAAGCTGGGGTCTGGGCTTCTACCACCATCCCCTGAATTGGGAATACAGCGAGTGAAAGGAATGGAACAAGACACTGGGATAAATTAGAGAACCCCATGCCCTGCCTAGCCCCTTACACTATTGAAGGTCAGCTTGATGTTGCCTGCGTCCAGCGCGGCAGCCCTCTTGTCAAAGCTTATGACGTGGGCGAAGTCCTCAAAGGCTGTGTTCACCTCTACGCAGAAGCCCCGGTCCTGTGGGCACAGTAATGCATGAAGCAGGGGCACCATGTGCCTGAGGCCAAAGCTGGCAGGCAGAGTGGTCACACTACAAGATGGTCAAGAAGGCCCTTCCCCCTGGAAGATACCCACAGGACTGTGATATGCATCAGAAACCAAGCTGTCCAAGTCCTCATCACCTGACAAGCCTCCATACCTACCCATGGTTTGGATGTCACATGGAGCTGAAGGGGCTCGATGTCTCCCAACTGCTGACTGATGCAGGAGTGTCTCACAATTAGTTCTTTGTTCCTTTGGCTTAAACCTCTAGCCCCAGCTGGGCTCTCCTGCTGCTTAGCAGTGCTTCCATGCATTCTCAGTCAACATTTGCAGGCCCCTACCCTTCACCTCTATGGAGTGCTTACTGTGTACCAGCTACCACGATGAGTGTTTCACACAAATTATTTAATCCTCCTGGTTCTACATTTAGTAGGTCCTAGTATCCTAATTTTACACAGAAGGAGAAACCAAGGTTTAGAGAAACTAGGGCACTTGCCCAAGGCCTCACAGCTCATAGATGACTAGGCAAGAACTCTACCCTGGGTGTGTCTATCCCCAAAGCCTATGCTTTCAAGCACCACACCCACCCAGATTACTTAGTCCATAAGAGAAATAGGGGCCACCAGGTGTGCAGCTCCCCATCAGTGCTAAAAACATCTCCATGGGCCAGGCTCTGTGCTTCTCATTTAAACCTTACAACATCACAGTGAAGCAGAGGCTTAGAAAAGTGATCTCAGTTGGCCCAAGATGACATGAGTGGTAAAAAGCCACTAGAGTTCAAAATCTGGCTCTCATGTCAGTTAAGCACAGGCCAGATTCCCTTCCTCTCTCTCTACATAGCTCTCACCTCTAGCCTTCTTGCTAATGGCAGAGGTGTGCTCCTCTTGCTCTGCAAGGGTACTTCCTCCACCCTGCTCCAGTCCTTATCACACAGCATGCATTCTCAGGGAACTGAAAGCTCCACGTTACCCTTGTCACTGGCTCCTTCCATCAAGCAGATGCTTCACCTAACCTGGAACAGCCTTTCTACCCTACTCTCCCCTTCATTAACGACCTCTCCTCTTTTCCTTTGTTTCAAAACCTCTTGAATTGCAGCAGAAAGGAAAAGGAATAAACATTTATTGAGAATCTATTAGATACTTTACAAATGTTACTTAATTCTCACAACCTTACCTATGAATTATCCCTGATTTACAGGTGAGCCAACAGGCTCAGAGACATGGAACAAATGGAGGTCTCAGAGCCAGTAAGCAACCAGGAGTTCTGTGACTTGAAAACGTGTGCTGCCCCGTCATGCCGCATCATTCATGACACTACTCTCCCAAAGGTTGCTCATGTCTACTAGCCAAATCCAAGGCCGTCTCCTTGGTCCTCACTCATCTGGTCCTCAGTGCCTCTACCATTTACTTCAACACTCCCCTCTCCAGGTCACCTCCTCTCCTACCTCTTTTATTACTTCTCTTGCATATTCATGTTCCTGAGAACAGCACTTAGTCCTCTTTCCCTACCCAATATGTACTCCCTAGCAATCTCATCCTTCATCTCCTGATTTTCAAACTCATCCTAGACTGGATATTTCAGACACTTCAAATTCAACACATCTCAAGATAATTCATTTCTCGTGAGCACCCTTCATGGATCTCCCTGACCCAGATCTGTGTCCAGGGCTCTCTGTGTTACCCTATGGCATGAGAGGCACCATCATGGTCTGCCTGGCTGTGGAAGGCAACAGGGAACTCCTGGGCTCATCTGCCCACCATAGGAAGGAATCCAAATGGGCAAAGAGGAAGGGAACTCTCTTTAAAAAGCTGCTTTCTCAGGTTGTGTGGTGAGACAGGACTCGGTGAGGATAGGCCCCTACAGGCCTATCAACAGTACCAGCCACTCTATGGCTAAAAGTTAATTGTCCAATAAAATTTAGCTATCCCAGGATAAGGCATTTCTATTTTATACGATTATCCTGTTTTAAAATATTATATTTGCTTTATTTAAGAGTAATTCCCCAGATGGAATTCCTATTTACTACAGCCCTGCTCTTCGCTTTATCCTTACCAATGGTGCCATCATCCACTGCCCTGACACCTCTGATTCCTTCCTTTCCCTCAATTTCACAGAGTAATCTGTTGATTCTACTTAGTGACTCTATCCCACAGGACTCTATCTCTGCACTTTTTTTTTAAACAGCAGAAAGTTTATTAAAATAGAAATTTTATGTAGAACCTCTGTGTGTAAGAAAGATTCAAGCTGCTTCACTTGAAAACAGGAAGCAGCACAAAATCCCCCTACTCAGCCCCCCACCCTTGTTTGTCTCAAGGCACATACACAGAAACCCAGAGTCTCAGAAGCACAGCTGGAGTGCTACAGCTTGCCTTCTGCTGCCCCCACCGCCCCTGGCTAGGATCACTTCCTACCAAGATTCCTGCACAGTCTACTGACTGGTCTCCCTGCTCACCTCTTCCATCCCTCTAACCCAGCTTCTAGCATCTAGTGCTTCTTGGACTTTTGTACCAAGTAGCCCCAACAGTAGGAGAGGTCTAGGGATGAGTCAGAAAAATATGACTATTTGAATTTCTCGCCACTATCAGTTTTAGTATCTTACGGCTTCAAGAACTCCTCTACCTACCACCACCGCCGCCTTCCCTAAGGACATAGGTATGTACTCTAGACTGAAAGGTGCTATTATATACCACCACCACTGGCTTTTCCAAGATACCATCACATCTGATCATTCCCCAGTTCCTCATTACTTACGAGAGAAAAATCCAAATTTCTTATTTTAGAATTCAAGGCACTTTACATGCAGGGCTCTACTTCCAAGCTGGGGCATATGGTTCCAGAGAAAGAGCAGCTACACCTCACGATAGTATGATACATCTTACCTAATGGTAAGTAATTTAAAATATTAAATTTATATTAAACAGAGAGGTACTATGGTGTTAAAATGCAACACCTACGTGAATCTGTAAGGCAAAATAGGACTTCAAAGAAATATATGTGCAATGAGACATTTCTAGCTTTATTTCCAGATCCCTTTCAACCCAGGTACCATTTAATCTCTGTAATTAGTACTTTGGTGGAACATGCACCATTTTTTAGATAAGGAAACAAGCTCAGAAAGGTCAGGTGACCTGTCCAAGGTCACACAACTAGCAAGCATTTAAACTAGACTTTTACTTAGGCAGTCTGCCTCCAGTCCTGCTGCTAACCACTGTATTGTATTATCTCCTCAAATGCATCAGAATCTTCACTTTCATAAAGAAATATGCTTTCTCTTTTTTTCTTTTGGAACACAAGGCTCTCTTAGTCCATCACTCACTTTTCCACTTTTGATAGATGTAAATATTGAGAACTATTTCTCTTCTCCAGTAGAAGAAAAGCAACAGGGCATGTGTGATGGTAAATGGCACCTGACACTTGTGACAGCATCAAGAAGGCACTAAGGAATGATAAGACGGATTATTTGCCCTTTCTTAAGTGGTGTCTCAGTTTCAGTCTGCAGAATGCCTTGCAAATCCAGCTCAGTGCTGCTGGATAATCCATATTGACAAGAGAAGCTAAAGATTTGGATTTTTTACATGAAGTTTTCTGATTTTAAAATGTTAGCAACAAATTCCAGTTTTTTTAAAAACACTGTATAGGCCACAAAGAACAATCTGTGTGCTACCAGTTTATAATTAGCTATGCTTCTTCCTCCTCAGACCTGGCATGCCCTTTCCACCCACTTGCCTTCACTCCCATAGTACCCTGTGTATACTCCAACCTCTTCCACCTACTTATTTCTAAAGGTGCAGTTCAAATGTCAGTTCTTCAGATTCCTGTCTCTGTAATAACACTTGCCCCTCTGTGTAACAGTTTGTGTAACAGTTCTCACGTATATCTTCCTATTAGACCATGTCTAGGCCAGGTGTGGTGGCTCATGCCTGTAATCTCAGCACCTTGGGAGGCCAAGGTGGGCAGATCATGAGGTCAACACATCAAGACCATCCTGGCCAACATGGTGAAACCCCGTCTGTACTAAAAATACAAAAATTAGCTGGGTGTGGTAGCACCTGCCTGTAGTCCCAGCTACTTGGGAGGCTGAGGCAGAAGAATTGCCTGAACCTGGGAGAGGGAGGTTGCAGTGAGCCAAGATCACACCACTGCCCTCCAGCCTGGTGACAGAGTGCGACTCCATCTTAAAAAAAAAAAAAGAAAAATTGTGTATTCATTACTGTATCCCTAGTGCACAGCACAGGATCACAGTAGATATCTGCTGAACCAAACTGCAGTGCTCCTGCAAAACAGGACTTAACAGGGAGTCCTCTGCAAGGAGTGTGCCCTGCACCTATCCTGTATCCATCCATAACCCCAGTCTTCCTCACCTTAAGGATGTCTTTAATGATCTTCTTTTCATCATGGAATCGTGCCTTCAACTCCTCCACATAGAACTTGAACAAGTCCAGAGGGGTGGAGCCTGCAGGGAGGGAGGGAGGGGGGCCTGGCGGGCGGCAGCTTCCCAAGGTCTAGGGGCTGCGCCGAGGACAGGATCAGGGAGTAGGGGGTGCAGAGAGGCTGGCAGGGCAAGAAGCCAGGCCAGAGAAGGGGAAGCCTGGCTGCCTTACCCGGCTGGCCCAGCATGTTGGCAAAGCGGACATCAGTGCTGACTGCTGGATACAGCTCCATCCAGGTAGACATAGAGTGTAGCTGCCCTGTCTCATGTAGCTCGTCCAGGAAGGTCTGAACAGAGAGAGGCCGGTTATAGGGAGCGTGAGACAAAGAGGGAGGCAGAAACACAGAATCAGAGGGAATAGAGGGAATGGCAGAGGGGGAGGCAGGGACAATCCAGATTGAAGAAATAATAGGCAAGAGAGGCAGAGGTGAAGAGATGCAAATGGAAGGCTGAGAACAATGCAAAAAGAGAGAATGTAAATACACAGAGACAGACAGAACAAAAAAGTACGAACAAGCCAGCCTGAGAGGAAAAGAAACAGAAACCAGCCTGTAGTAACCCCTACCACTGCCACCCACAAGCTGAGGGAATAAACTCTGCCTGTCAGGTGCCCCACCCAAGGGAAATTAACATGGCCTAGCTGCCAAGCCGTGCTTGTAGGGTGCTCTCTGCTGGCAGTTTCTGGGTGGTGCATATATCTAGTCTCCCAAGAAGAGCACAGTCCAGAATTGAGGGGTACAGTACAGAAGCAGACTGCATGCAGAGAGAGATCTCATGGAGCTTGGACAGGGCTAGGCACAGAAAGAACAGGCAGCCTAACCTGAAGGGGGCAGGGAATGGGTGAAGAGGTTGTGATCTAGGGCAGAGCCCAGCTCTGATCTAGAAAAGACAGCAAAGATACCTGGAAGGCCTCCCGATTCTTGCGTTGCTGGCGTCGCTCCCGAAGCCGGGCCCGCTCCCGTTCTTCCTCCTCCTCCCTCTCCAAAGCTCGGATGTGCTCCTCAAAACAGATCAGTGCATCTTCCTTGTCCATGTCTAAAGACAGGCAGGAGGTTCAGTGGCCACTGTACCAGCAGGACACTCTCTCAGACCCCAGCACCCCTAAGGTCTCAACGATGCTGTCCTACAGGTGCTAGGGATACCCAGCGTGGTGGGGGAAGGGCCGGGAGAGGACTCTGTGGGAACAGCCGCTGGAATGGTGGTTTTTAGGGGGGCAATCATTAATTGTATAAGAATCAATAAGCAAGTATTCAGCTCTTGTGAATTCAGTTATTAGAAGATATAACATGAAACCAGTTGTCTTAGGATCTGAGGTTTCACATCTTATGGAACTGGAATCAATCAGGCTTTAATGCTATTTCAGAAAGTGAATTTTATTATCATTGGTGATTACAGGCCAACAACAGTCTATTGTAACATGTGTCCAGTTAAGGCCTGTAGTGCTATAAGACCATATTCACTGGGTGTGGTGGCTCATGCCTGTAATCCCAGCACTTTGGGAGGCCGAGGTGGGTAGATCACAAGGTCAGGAGTTCAAGACAAGCCTGGCCAAGATGGTGAAACCCCATCTCTACTAAAAATACAAAAAAATTAGCCAGGCGTGGTGGCAGGCGCCTGTAATCCTAGCTAATCGGGAGGCTGAGGCAGAGAACTGCTTTAACCCAAAGGGCAGAGGTTGCAGTGAGCCAAGATCATGCCACTGCACTCAGCCTGAGTGACAGTGAGACTCAGTCTCAAAAAAAAAACCACATATTCACATGAGTTAAAATCATAATCATTGACATCTCTAGGACTTATGATTTCTATCCCAGAGCTCTTCCTCCAATGATACACAGTGTCTAGGCCAACAGTGGACCCCAGAGGGAGGAGTGGCCTGATGATGCCATTCTGGGATCCCTGGAGTCTAGAGAGGTACAAGAACTGAGTGAGTGTTGGGTACTCCCAGGGTATCCAGGAGGGCAGGAGGTACAGGGGAGTGGTGTGAGGCATACTCTGGGGGTCCCAGGTCCAGTAAGGAAAGGGACAGGTAGGATTGGAGGCCCTGGCTTACTCTGCAGCTGATGGTCCTGAGCAAAGCTGGGATTATCCATGAGGTACTGCTGGGCCTGGGACCATGTGGTTTGGAAGTTGACACTACTCATCCCATCCAGGATGCTCTTTAGGGCCTGGATGTTGCGGCGCCGGAGCTGCTTGGCCTGTTCCTGGGGAGCCAAAGGATCAGGGTGAGGTAGGGCAGGCCAGAGCTACCCAAGTAGCCTGGGCAGAGGAGGACCTGGGGAAAGGTGGCTAGGGAACCCTAGGAAGAAGGCCATACTCAAGACTTTCATGTCTCAGAGAAGGAGAGGGAGTACAGGTTACAGACCTTCTCTCTGAGACTCCTCTTCCCTGCCACACCCAGGACTATAGGCCCAGAGAAGAAATGGGATGTGCAAGTGCCATACCAGCTTCAAAATAAGGAGCTGGGACACTGGGGAAGTGGAGAAGTAAATGGCTAGGGTCCATAACAAAACAAAGACAGGCAAAGTCTAGGATAAGACAGGCTGAAGGATCCTGCCCAGCAAACATTACCTTCTCCTTCTTGGCCAGGAAGAAGAGGACATCATCATAAACCTCTTTTCGATCCCTCTCAGGGACCACAGCCCAGACCTCCAGTTCCCCAAAGGTCTGTTCTGCCCGCCTGTGGAGCATATGGGCTGTGAGTAGACAAAACACAGAGACCCTGGACCTTTGTGTTCTCAGGGTTCCCAAGCCCCAGCCCAGCCTGGCCCCCTGACCGGTAGCGGGTGGTGGAGGTCATGCGTTCATGCTGCTCCAGGAAATGCTGCAGGGTCTGCTTGGCCTCCTTAGCCCTTAGCCGGGCCTCCTCCTTCTCCTCCTTCTCCCGCTGCGCCTTGTAGGCATTGAATGCCTGCTTTTTCTCACTGAGTTTGGGCAAGGCACTGGGATAGAGGGTAGGAGTGGGGTAGGGATAGAGAAGTCAGCCTGAACAATCTTGCACAGCCCACAAAGGAGGGTCATGGGACACTGCAGGCTGCAGGGGTTTCAAGGGTACAGATGTCTGGGATCTGCCAACACCATTCCCAGAAAAGTAGGGGTGACATGAAGTGAGGGGAAGAGATGCAGTTCCAAGGCACTGCTAATGCTGGGCCCATTTACTTTGGGGTTCTCAAGTCACTGTCAGACTTCTTCCCTATCCAGCACCCTAGTTCCTCAGTTAATTCAATTCAGTTTGACTCAATTCAACAAGCATTTATTGAATGTGTCATGTCAGATACCTTTCCCTTCCTTCTCCTGGAAGCCCTCCAGTTTTTCTTCCCCTTGTACCCCAACCCAATCTATCACTGTCATGACTCTGGTTCCCTTAGAGCTGAACACTGAGCTGGGGTTTCTTAGGGAGTCCCTAGCATAGCTGCTCTCATGAACAGGGCCTGGCTCCCTCTGCCCAGGCATACCTGTAACGGGGGTCAGTGACCACCATCTTCATGGCCTGTTCCCATGAGGCATTGGAAGGGACAGCCTAGAATGAAGCAGGTGAAAGTCATGGGGCCTGCCCCACTCCAGACCCCTCCAAACCTTCCCTGGGAGCCCCACTCCAGCACCTTGTCCCTCAGCAGTTCCTTGAAAGCCTGCTTTGCCTTCTCCCGGTTGCTCCAACTGAGACTACACCTCTCTGGTTCTGGCTTTGATTCCTCCTCCTCCTGCTGTGGTGGCTGATGCTGTCCAGCAGAACTGGAGGGCACAGGGGACTCAGCCACAGGGTCCCCCAGCCCTCATATCTTTCAGTGCCCTGAACTCTTGGCAATGTATCCCTCCTTGTTCCCCAGGGCAGCCTTTTTCTGCCTTTCAGAGGTCACATTCAGATCTTCAAACCCTTCCTGAGAAGCCCAGCAGAGGACAAGGGTTGAACCATGCTAGGAGCCTGAGGCTAACATTGGGAATGCCATGTGGGGCGGTCCTCACCTACTGGGGCCCTCCTCCAGCTGCTGCAGGAACCCCTGTTCCAGGGGCTGGGTAGCCTCCGACACATCACAATCTCCACTCCCACCTGGCTCAGGTTCCAGGAGGCCTGTGGGCACTGGGGTGGGGCCAGGAGGTACAGGTGGGGGGTCAGGCTGTGGCTGAGGCGGCTGTGGTTGAAGTGTCTGTGGCAGCTGCTGCTGCTGTTTCCTGCAGATGAGCCAGACGGGCAGTGTCCAGGACGAGAGCAGGAATGGAGGAGTTCAGGTGCTGGCTGGTCTCTCTGTCCTGGGAAGCACTGGGACCAGAGGAGATGACTCCACAAGGAGACAGAGCTGGCTCTTCCTCCCACAGTAGAGATCATGGCAAGAGTCTACTCCCACACCCCAGGGGCCCCAAGTATAAATGGATAGGTGGGCAAGTCACTCACCCTGCAGCCTCTTGCTTGACTAGAACTGCAAAGGGAAAAGATAACAAAGTCACAGGGGCAATATGGAACCCCCAGAACTCCTGACCCAGCCCACCCCTAGGACGTCTCACCCTCCAGGTCATCCAGATCCTTGGGCCGGGTCCAGCGAGACTCTTTACTCTGGTTGTTATAGTAGTAAGGTTTTCCTGTGTCTGACTTGTACTCTTTCCAGGGACACTGGGACAGGAGCAGCTGCAAGAGGATGGGTTAGGAGCCATCAGTGGGCTGGGCATGCTGTCCAGCCAGTCAGGGGAGCTAAGGGAACCCAGTGAGTAGAGGACACAGGAGCCTTTAGTTACCACCTGGCCTGACTCAAACTGGGGAAGGTGGACTTCTTGAGATCCTATGGAGATATTTCCAGGGAGGGTGGGGAGTGGTCAGGGACCTTGGGATCAGATGAACCATCATGAGTATGGTTAGAGACTAAAGGAAGGCCAAGGACTTGGAAGGGTCAGGGCAGCTGAAAGGAAGGGCCAGAAAGCCCAGCTCAGGACCTCTGCCTTGGACTTGAGCACGCTGGGCTTCTCCCACACGGACTGCTTGTCGTCAGCATTGTAGTAGTAGATGCGCCCATCTGGGGCCACATGCTCACTCCATAGGGCCCTCTGGCGGGGGAGGGGGCACAGAATGGTGGTCAAGGCCCCTTTTCCAAAGCCTCTCCTCACCCCAAAGATTTAACCCCCACTCTCAGGCTTTCTCCCAGAGGCCCCTGAGCTAGAAGAACTCACCGGAGGGCCTGTCCCAGCCACAGCAGCTAGAAAAAAAAAAGCCACAGGATACATACTAAGTCCTTGCCCCAACCTCCATCTTATCCCCTTATTCCTCCCTTATTCCATCCCCAGTAAATATTCCCCTGGTCCCATCAAAATCCCAGGCTCCCTGGCATCCCAACAGGCATGATCCAGGGTGGCTCCAGTCCACGGTCCCCTCTCCCCTATGCCCCCCAACCTCCGAGCCTGGGGGGAGCAGGCCCCCAGAAGACTCACAGCTGGCGGTGTCCGCACCCGGAGCCGTCTGCCGAAGAAAGAGGAGGGGGAAGGGTTGGGGCCAAGCCCAGTGGCCCCCAGGACCCAGGCCGTGGGGGATGGAGAAGCAGGCCAGGCCAGATTCCATGTGTCCTGCTGCTAGAGATCTCTGCTCCCTAACAGGCTTCCCCCACCCTTCAGTGCCATGGCTCTAGGATCCCAGGGGAGAATCACATAGCAGCTCCATTCTTCATTCTCCTCAAGTGAGAGTATTTGGTTCATTCCTTCACAGTAGATGCCAAATTCTATATCCTACCCAGACTCTGCTACACTGAGCAATAGCATAACAAGGCACAGCAAAATCCTCAAGTGCTACTGACTCTTCTGGTAACAAAGAGGATGTGAAGAACTGTATTCATGTGTCCACAGTGTGTGGCTCTGTGAGGATAAGAGTGCTCCTCAAGGGAACTGGACATAGCATGAGAGTAACAAGAGAATGTATATGCCTTTGGGGCTGGGCGCGGTGGCTCACACCTGTAATCCCAGCACTTTAGGAGGCCAAGGCAGACGGATCACCTGAGGTCAGAAGTTCGAGACCAGTCTGGCCAACATGGTGAAACCCTGTCTCTAAAATAAATAAATAAATAAATAAATAATGTATATGCCTTTGGGATGAGTGGGAAACTAGAAGAGCTAAGTATATGGCTGGCAAGGAGGATTCTTTTTTTTTTTTTTTTTTTTTTTTTTTTTAAAGACGGGGTTTCACCATGTTGGTCAGGCTGGTCTTGAACTCCCGACCTCAGGTGATTCACCCGCTTTGGCCTCCAAAGTGCTTGGATTACAGGCGTGAGCCACCACGCCCGGCTGGCAAGAAGGATTCGAGTGTGAGGACTGCTGCTGAGGACCTGGGTGGATGCAATGAGAAGAGGGAAAGAATGGAGGTCATATCCCTGTATTTCAAGTCAGACTCGCAGGACTGCAGAGCCGAGCCTGCTACCTGCTGGTCCCCAGTGCTTACCGCTGCGGTAACGGGCACCGCCGGCATCAGCATTCCTGGCATCATCGGAGGAACCATTCCTGGTATCTATGGATACAAAGGAGACAGAAACCAACCACCAAGGTAAGGGCTGGCACAGAAGGGACAGGGTACCTCAAAGGGTCCTAAGAGACCTCATTGGAGCTATGACCCTCACTTGGGTACTTCCTCAGGCAATCCCGATTCTGGCCTCTCACTTTGCCTGAGAGTTGTCTCAGCAGACAAATCCACATGAGTCTGGCCCAAAGCTCCTTTCCTTCCCCAGTTTCTGAGGCCCAGGTGCTCACTCTTATCTCCACCCTCAGCTAAACTGACAGGGTTTTCTGAGACCCCAGGGGAGGAGAGATTACCTGTGTGAGTGGTGGTGGCGCCCCCATTGGTGGAAGCATTGGGGGCAGGATGCCAGGTGGCATGGGAGGGATGGCTGGTGGTCTCTGACTCAAGGGGGGTAGCCCCATTGGAGGAAAGGGTGGGGGGATCCCTGGAGGGGGCATCTGGAAATAAGGAAAGGAAAAGATACTGAGCAGGGAAGACACTGCCTTGTCAGAGGCAGAGAGGACCTGTCAGGAAATATCCACCGCCTTCCACAGCCTCCCTCCCCGACCCTCCACCCTGGCTCTGAGGCAATTCCAAGGCTTTAGTTGGAGAAGCACAAGACCTGAAACTGCCTCCCTCTTCACCACTGAGGAAAACTGATAACTGGGGTCTAACAGTCGAGCACACATCTTCTTTTTTTTTCTTTTTTTTTGAGATGGAGTCTTGCTCTGTTACCAGGCTGGAGCGCAGTGACCCAGTCTCAGCTTACCACTGCAACCTCCACCTCCCGGGTTCAAGTGATCCTTCCACCTCAGCCTCCCGAGTAGCTGGGACTATAGGCAAGTGCCAGCACGCCCGGCTAATTTTTGTATTTTTAGTAGAGACAGGGTTTCACCATATTGGCCAGGATGGTCTTGATCTCTTGACCTCGTGATCCGCCCGCCTCAGCCTCCCAAAGTGCTGGGATTACAGGCATGAGCCACCACGCCCGGCGCAACAGCTTAATTATAATGGGAAAGGAAAGGGAGAAGGGAAGTTTAACAGCACCAGACTGAGACTGGAAGGCTCCACCTCTTCAGCAATTCTCCCCAAAAGAGGCCTAGCAGATGAAGGGGCAGAAGGCATGTATCCAGGTACCCAAATACCCCAGCCCCCTGCCTCTCATCCCTTTGTCTCCAACTCATAACCACCAATACCATTCCAGCCCGGATTCTGTGGCATATTTAAAGAGCATAGGTAAGGAGTAGTGAAAGAGACAGAGAGTCCCACCCTGCCCTCACATTAATGGGGTCCTTTCCCTTCCACTTCTCCTACCTCCAGCCCCAGTGTGTCCTAAGGTCAAAAAGACAAAGGGGTAACTGTCAATGTTATGTACTGAGAGCTTCACAACAGCTCTCCCCACCCCAATGCCCAAGTAAAACCATCCCTCTTCCAAGGGCAGCAAAGGGGGTATTACATAAAAACTGTGCTGGTGATGCAGCAGTGGCTAGGGGCTGGGGAGTTGGGGGTGCAGGCTGGAAAAGCCAAGCCCAGGGAAAGACATAAAACTTACGAAGGGTGGTGGCATCATGGGGGGCCCCGGTGGGAAGGGGGCAGGCGCTGCTGGGGGCCGGGGACCAGAATCGGGAACCGACTGTTGAGGGAGAGAAAAGTCATAGGACCCAGGATGGGCAGAGGTGGGCTTTTTGCAGGAGGGAAGCAGAAGTGATGAGGATGAAAAAGGAGCACAAAGTTCAGAAGGAGGGTCTTCAAGCCCAATTTCCTGCCCACCCCAAGCTCTGAGCCCTTGGTAGGTTTGCTCTCTCTTATGCCAGCTCAGAGCCAGCTGGCTGAGCCCCTTTAATGTCATCTTTATTTTGAAAGTTTCCATTTTGCCAAAGCAACAAAAAACATGGAAGAGACTTCACTACAGGCACAGTATGGCTCTATCCAAGCCTTCTCATCCATTTTGCCTATGGGCAAGGATATGCCTCTTTCAAATTAAGTTAGAGGTCTCTTTTATTCCCAAAGTATCCAGGGAGGGTGTTGCCTCTTTTCTGGTTCCCCTACCTTAATTAGCCCAGTTACAGAGATTCAATCCGAAGCTCTCTCAACACAAATAGTTGCTAGTCCTTTAAAATGTTTGTCTCCCTAATTCTCATCTCTTCACGACCAGATTCCTCCCCTAACTGACTTCATCCTTAGTCACCTACTTTCTTTGATGTCTTCCACTTCCAATTGCCAACTTCATCTCTGGCTCTACCTTCATCCCCTTTTTGGTGGCCATCCTGTCTGCACCCCAACCTTTAGTTCTCAGCTTAAGTATCACTTATTTATTACTTCCTAACTCTGTGTAAAGTAGTTCCTTCCTATTTCTCTATCTGATCCCCTTTTTAGTTTCCTCATGTATATAATTTTGCAATTATTATGTTTGCCTGGATATGTTTCCCCCAACAAGAGTGTAATAACATGCCATCGGCCGGGCATGGTGGCTCACACCTGTAATCCCAGCACTTTGGGAGGCCGAGGCAGGTGGATCACCTGAGGTTGGGATTTTAAGACCAGCCTGACCTCTACTAAAAATACAAAAAATTAGCTGGGCATGGTGGCACATGCCTGTAGTCCCAGCTACTTGGGAGGCTGAGGCAGGAGAATCGCTTCAACCCAGGAGGCAGAGATTGCAGTGAGCCAAGATCACGTCACTGAACTCCAGCCTGGGTGACAGAGCGAGATTCTGTCTCAAAAAAAGAAAAGAAAAAAAAATTCCGTGAAGATAGGGATCACATCTGACTTGTTGGAAGCTGGATTCCTGGTACCTACCACAGTGTCTGGCACATAATAGGTATTCAGCAAATAATGAATGAATGAAGAACAAAGGAACAGATCTCTACAGAGAAACTTCTAATTCTAAAAATTCATTTTATAGGTATAGCCCCACATGGCCAAAATGCTGTATGTCTAAGGTTTTCATTTCAGTATTATTTGTAAAAACGGAAGATTGGAATCAGCCTAAATCTTCACCAGTAAGGAGCTATGAAATTATATATGCACATAAAATGCAATACTATACAGTTATGAACAAGAATGGAAAAGTGTATTTTCTCAGTATGATCTCTAAGATACATTAACAAGTGGGAAAAAAAGCAAGGTGCAGCAAATTTTGATCATTTGTATAAAAAAATCAGACAAAAGATGACACACAAGAAATGGTAGAGAGACAGAGGTAAAGGAGAGACTTTTCCCTGTATGCCTTTTTGTAACTTTTGAATATGCAGCCATGACTATATTGCCCATTCAAAAAATCAAACAAACAAAAAAAAACCCAAAATCATTGTAAGTGAACCAAGGCTTGTAGATGCAGCTAAAGGGCCCAGCCTTTCTGCCTCACTGCCTGAAAGTTAGGGGGTGATAGGGAGGAACTCTAGGGAAAGGTGGTATCTGGCTGAAGAGAAGCCACCTCACTGCTGCCAGTTTCCCCCCTGCTGAGAATGTTCAGCATTTAAAAATGCCTTCTCATGTCTACTTTTAAAATATCTGTTTCTGGCCTGGTGCAGTGGCTCATGCCTGTAATCCCAGCACTTTGGGAGGTTGAGGTGGGTGGATCACCTGAGGTCAGGAGTTTGAGACCAGCCTGGCCAACATGGTGAAACCTCATCTCTACTAAAAATACAAAAATTAGCCAAGTGTGGTGGTGCACGCCTGTGGTCTCAGCTACTGGGGAGGTTGAGGCATGAGAATCGCTTGAACCTGGGAGGTGGAGGTTGCATTGAGCTGAGATTGCACCATTGCACTCCAGCCTGAGTGAGAGAGTGAGATTCTGTCTCAAAAAAAATAAAAATAAAAAATAATCTGTCCTTCATCTCGTCCTAAGAAGAAAAGGGTATGAGCTAAACTACTCCAACATGACTCACCTTTTCTAAGTGTTCAACTGCTTTAGATCTGCATTCAGACCTGTTCTTGCCCCCAACACTCTCCTCAGCATGGGAAGTCAGAAACTAATCAATATAGGAAGAAATACAATTTTCTGTGTCACACTTTCCCATCTCAAACTGCCTTAGGGGCCTCTCTAACCTCCCAGATAACCATCTTTGGGTTCTACCAGGCTCCAGGGGAACCTGTCTCAGAGACTGGCACCATACCATCCACTCAGCTGCCTAAATGGAAACCTATGAGTCACTCTCCACAACTCCCTCTTCCTTGCCAATAAATCACCAAGTCCTGTTAACTTTACCTCCTCAAGATTTCTTTAATCTATCCATTTCTCTCCATTTCCTTTTCCACCACCCACCACCACCCATCTCATCCAAGCCACCATCTTTTTTCATCTAATTGCAGTGGCCTCCCAACTGTTTTCCTCACATCCACTCCAATCTGTAGCCATAACAAGCTCTTCAAAGGCTTCCCCCTGCTCTTAGGATAAACAGTAAACCCCCTGCCCAGTGAGGCTGAGAGGGTCTGCTACTCAGCTACCTTGCCAGCCTCCCCATGTTGAGCTTCTGAGTCTGGGCTCAAGCGCTACTCATCTTCTCTCAGCTCTGCCACCTCAGGCCTCCACCTTTGCCCGAGAAAGCTGGGCTGGCCCTGCCAACCCTACATACCTTGCCTGCATACACGTCACATCCACCTATCGTTTTTTCAGGAAAGCCTTTCCCAACTCCCTGAACTAGTCAGAGCCCTCTTTTATGTTTGTACAACACCATGTACCTTCTCCTTCAGCAATTATCCATTAGAATTTTAGTTATTTGTATAATCCTGATTATATTATTATTCTGTTTGGCATGAATAAAGAACAGATGCTGCCTATTAAATTATAATATCCCATCAATTTTAAGATGCATTCTGGCTTGACAAATGTTCCAGTATGAGTCTCAGAATTAATGAAATATAATATCTGTGGCCCCTATTAGACTGAAAACACTGAAGGGCAGGGAATTCATCTGTTTTTGCCCACCTCATATCCAGTTCCCATTGTTTTCCTTACCACCCTCTATGGGTACAAAGTAAGTACTAATAAATGTTTGTTAACTTAATGACTAAATGGTCTTTGCAAGTCGTACAAAACAGTAGGGGCCACTGGTAAGTTAGGCCTAGTATTCAGGGAACATAGAAAGTCAGAATTGGAGGAGACCCTGGCAGCCACCCAGTGCATCCCCCTTTTCAGGGAATAATCTGCCCCAGAGGCCACAGCTGGTTAGAGACAGAACCAGGACTGGATCCAATCTGCCCTCTGGCCCTCCTCCCTTAAAAGAAAAGCTCCCACCACAGGAAGCAGGTCTATTTGCAATCTAGCATATCCCCTGCAACCTAAGTGGTTAAATCACCAGCTACCCAACATTTTCTTGAGAACTTATGGGGTTCCCGATTGCCTACCTTACAAAATCTCTCATCTAACAGTCGAAGCCTTGCAATGAAGGCTTCCCTCCTCCTCTCTGCACAGAATTGTTAGATTACCCTCAGGTGAAACACATTTCTTTTATTCTACAGTCTCATGCTTTGTTCAAGATGATCTATATTCACCTCCTTCAGGTTACCCTTATGACTATCCCACACACATACACACACTCCTACCTGTGTCCCTTCAGCATAAATGATGCACTACTTTGCAGAGTGACATGCTACTCTGTGAATGTTTGCCGGGTGTTTCATGTGGGACTGCCTGTCTCCCACTCATGTGGGGATTTCCCTACATTCAGGGATTGAGTTTTCTCCTTTTATACCTCCCCCAAGTGTTTAATCAGGTCCCTGCTCCCAAAGTGCTGTGATAAAATGCAGTCTCATCTCTAACCTTATTAGACTTTTGCATACTGGAACATCCTAAAATGCATTTTGAAAACAGTGTGTACACATGCATATGTACATCTGTATAAATTCTTTGCATATAGACTGTGACAGAGAGAGGTAGCTTGGCAGAGGTCTTTGTGGCCTGGAGAAAGGAAACTGGAATAAAACGTTGGCATGGGAAAACCTAATAAAGCTAACTGTATACAGTCATCTTCAACTTGGGATGAAGACCTCTGGCCAGGATTCAGACACTGGCCTGCTCTGGACAGTTCCCCACAGAGGACAGAACAATGGAATAAACATAAACTACTATGGAACTTCCAAAGCCTTTCCTTCCCTGAGCTCCCCGTGTTGTATCCCTGCTTTCCTGAAACATCCCTGCCCCTCTCCTACCTGCTGCAATGCTGTAAAACTTTGGGTCTTATTTCATTTCTGGATGGGAATATGAAGAGTGAGAAGGAAGGATACAGAAATGGGTGCTGAAAGAGAAGCAGATCCTGTGTCTTCCCTGGAACAAAAACACATTTGTGGGCTGATGAAGAGACACTGATCACCCGATCATCATGTTCACCTGGGCCAGTGAGGGGCCACCCCTTTCCCATCACCAAAGATGCCATCAGTTCTTCTGAGTCTCTGTACATCTAAGGGGCATCTCAGAACTGAGCACTCAGAGGAACAAAAGGAGAAAAGAACAAGAATGGAGAGGCAGAAGGAAAAGAATAGAGGAAATGATAACAGCTAATAGCTAATATTTACTGAACACTTATTATGAGCCAAATACTGTGCCAAACACTCATTTAATCCTGGCAACCATCTTAGAGTCTATTATTCCTACTTTACAGACAAAGAAACTGAGGTTCAGAGATTAAGTAACTTGGCTAAGGTTCCAAGAGATTAAATGGGAGGGGCAGGTTTGGAATCCAGTTTAACCCCAAAGCCTGTGCTTTCAACCAGTTTCACAAAGCTGCCTCCCAGCAAGGATGATGGCGCCACAGATGATACTACTTACATTCAGATACATTTCCTTTTTTATTTTTTTTTAACCCCACTCCTCATACAATCCAGAAATCCTTAACAAGCCAAGTATTCCCAAGGTCTGCTTGGTCTGACTCACTCCCACTCCCTGAAGGGTTATGTGTTGGAAGAGGAAGGCTGGGAGGCACATCTCTCAGAAAGGGGTAGCCATCATCAAAAAAGAAAAAGCTGAGAGACCAGCTGGTTTCCCCGTGATCTACCTTCGGCCCTTTTCTTCAGCTGCCCCAAACAGCACCTGTCTTGCCTCCCTTTCAAAGACTATCCTAGTTTCCAACTTTCTTGGACCAGCCCAACTCTTCCTCTTGCTCCCCAAAGATCTGCCTTACTAGAGAGTATCTTCCTGTTGCTTCTTTCTGATCCTGCCATCTCATCACTCTCCCATTGAAGAAGTGAATGTTACTTTTGTTCTCCATCATTGTGGAGTTAGGTCTCAACCTCCTCAGAGTTCTTCCAACCCTCTACGGCTAGCCCGTCCCAGTCTGGCAGGCTGTCTACCATCCCCCAACACTCGTAGGGATTTCTCCAGCCCCAGCCCAAGGCCTCGCCTCCATCTTCATCCCTCTTTCCTTTGCTTCCCTACCAAACTCATTCTCCTAAACTTCCTTCTCAAAAACCCCTTCATTTAGACCCTGGAAGAGATCTGGAATTTAATTTTCATGCATTTCCTTTTTTTAAAAAATCGATGGGAAATCTGAGG